CAAAAGGTGCATGTATATAATTCAATCTGGCGCGGATCCAGTCGAAGGAGCAAAAGTAGTATCAGCGATTAATCAGAGTAGCGCCGAACGTTACGTCAGTGAAGAAGTCGCGATGAGATCGCGCGACAGACAGACGCGTGCATCGCGTTACTTTTTTTTTTTTTTTTTTTCCACGTCGTTTAATTCGCGAGCGCTAATTAGCGGTGATTGATACGTGAAAACCGGTAGGTAGCAAACCGGCGTACTTTGGCATCGTAATGACCTCCACCACTTGTGTTGCTAACTATTTTCGATAGTCGACTTGGCTAACTTTAGCAATTTCGTTGGTGGTCGGTTTGCGAGTTTACGCTTAGTTTTCCGCCGCGATTCCGTTGTGGCGCGTCCGCGTCACGCGGCTCGTCGCGTAGCGTTCGCCGTTAGCGAAAAGATCGATAGCGATAGCGATAGCGGCTGCGATAACGATAGCGACAGCGCCTGCGTATTTTTATTTGTCCCCAATTTAAATTGTTAATATACACGTGGCGCAGCCGTGCATCGCCGGCCGTATATTAAAAAAAATATCACCAAAGTAGAAATTGTCGTTAACATAACATTAATGCAAGACTATCGCGTCACCGCTTCGAACGCATCCAGGAAGTATGGCGGTGTTCAATAATATCATTAGACTTTCGACCGTACGTCTTTCCGCACACTCGCGTTTGCTCGTTAAAATCCGTTTGGCTCGCATCAACTAATATTCGCATTGTGTTCTACAGGTGGTTTCCTAATTCTCGACTCCACACTCGAACGTGCCGAACGATGGTCGATTACTACAAAGTGCTTGAAGTACAGCGGAATTCTAGCAGCGCTGATATCAAAAAGGCGTAAGTTCGAATCTATTCATTAGCTGGTCTATTTATTACGATTCGCATGTCACTGCGAATGACTCGCGGTAAATCTGGTAAAGCGACCGCTCGCGATCGGTCGTATTTTTAACAGGCTCGACTAACGCAACATCCGGCATATTTCGTTTTGCAGGTATAGAAAGTTGGCATTGAAATGGCACCCGGACAAGAATCCGGACGATTTGGAAGAGGCGAATAGAAGATTCAAGGAAATATCAGAAGCTTATGAAGTTTTGAGCGATGGTAAGCCCGCGCTGTAATAGTAGCGATAATCTATTCCGATCCAGGACATTGTGGTTTCTCGTATCACTCGGAAAATGACTTTCTCAATCGTTAAGACGACAACCGGATATCCTGGAAACACATACATATCTAATGTCTTGATGAAATATACGTAGAAGCGTCTGAATTGTAGGATTAACGTAGAGGTCAATGCTTTGTTTTTAGCCGAAGCGTCAGCGTAATAAAGACACGCTCCTACCAAGAATAATAGATTGCAGATTGTAGTTGTCGAGAGATTCGAAAAAGAAACGAGCGGACGGGAGAAATTTATATGCATAATTTTGTACGTAAGATCGGGGCGATATAGAAAATCTTTCCAGATGTGAAGAGACGCACTTACGATCAGCGCTTGTATCAGAAGGCGGCGTCGAGGCCCGGCCGTGGATTCACCTTCCGGAGTTTCTTTGATTCTCCCTTCCAGCGTTACTTCGGTATCATTTGAAAAGAGAGATACGATTTGCAGAGTGATCAAAGCATTGTGTACTGCAGTTTTTCTTTTTCTTTTTTTCCACTTGCCTTTTGATACTGTGTTACAAGTTTTTTCGCGTCTCTTCTCCGCCTCTTCCGAAAACAAATTTAAATGTCACCGATTGAACGGAACGTTTAACGCAACGCGAGAAGGCTGAAATATTCGAAATTCGACAACTTCGACTTGCACCTTGCATTACGGAGACACTTACGAAAATTTTGCTAGTGTGTGAATCTCTATAATTTGTAAATATCCCTCTTGGAATGACTTTGTCGAGTACAAACACTGAAATGCGATACACATTTGATTGCTCACTTCCTCCTTGATCTTTTTTTTTTTTTTTTTGAGAAAGTGGAAGAATTTTGTAAATTTTCCCTTATCTAGCCAAATAACCACGCGCCGCAGTTAACCTTGCCTGCATTCTATTGTGTGCTAACAACCAGCAAATTGCGATTCGATCGAAGGAATTACATTCTTCGTGAAAGATCCAACATACCGTAGTATAAGCTAAACTAAGCGATATATTAATCGACGTTGAAGCGATACAAGATGAATCCTCGAGCAACAAGTCTCTGTAATTTCTATGAGACTTTTACTCGCATTGTATATATTTCAATTGTCAATATTGGACTAACTTTTGGCAAGCCTTGCGGAAGCCTCGCTTGGGTTTTGGACACGCAGATTGGAGAGATAGCTGCTTGATCAAGAGTCGACGTAGAAATGATAATCATTTCGCTTGGCGATTTTCAGAGAAGAAGAGACGCGTTTACGATCAATATGGCAAGGAAGGCCTCCAGATGCCCGGAACCAAACGACGCCACGGGGACGACTTTGATCCGCACTTCGGCGGCACGTTTGTCTTCAGAGATCCTGAGGAAGTGTTTAGAGAATTTTTCGACGGCATACCGTTCGAAAATTTATTCACCAGTAAGACACACGCAACATACATGAGCAATCGCGAAAATGTATCTGTAAAAAAGTGCGCCAAACTATTGATCGTTGAATTTTACAGGTTTTCACGATGGTGGCTTACGGAGAAATGCTGGCGCGAGACACGGTCATCCAACTAGTAATAGTCTAAGCACTTCTTTCTTCGGGCCCTTCGGATTCGACTTTCGTCTACCGTTCGACGGTTTAATGGAGAACGCCGGCACCGCAGGAAACTTTACCTCTTTCGGTTCCTTCGCCAGTTTCGATGGTGCGAGCGGCGGCACTGCTGTGAAACGCACTAGTACGTCGACTCGGTTTATCGACGGCAAGAAAATTACGACCAAAAAGTAAGTCTCACTTGACTAATGAAATTAGCAAGAAGATTTTAATAGCGTTATTGCACAATGCACTCCTTCTGACTGATTTTCCTTTTGTTACAGAGTTTATGAAAATGGAAAAGAAACGATAATGTCTTACGAAAATGATGTACTGAAATCGAAGACGGTGAACGGCGTGCCACAATCAATAACGTACAGTTAAAACTCATCTTATTCGCTCGATCTCTCCTCGGCAATTGAGAAATTCCTGTCGTCACGTTTGTCGAACATCTGTAAACGAGTACCTGGTATCCGCATTGGTATCTCCAGTTCCTTCCCTCCCTCGCAGTAGTTTTCGATCGTTTCGTCGAAAATATAACATCAGTCGACAAACGCTCATAACGCCATTGCCTAGCGATCGATATTGAGAATCGACGATAGTGTGAGATAGGCTCTCTAAGCCCGAGTGATCGGAGCATTATATAATTGGAATTTACATAAAGCAAGAGCGAATCACTTTCTTACAAGCTTCAATTTTCCGTCATCTCGTTTGTTTATGTGTGTGTTAGGTTCAACGAAGCATCCACGAGTCGTCAAGTCAGTGAGAACGTCAACGATAACACAGTGGGCCACACCAACGCGTCCAGTTGCGACCATCTAAAAGCTAACAGAGTAAAGACGCGTCATCATCTGCTCACGAGTAAGAAGCACGATAGAAGTAAGAGGAAATAAGCTGCTTCGCTCTTGTCAAGTTCCTTATATATCCAAGTCGACAAGTGTGCGCTCCTGATATACTTGACAGAATTCACACGGATAAATTTTCATTCTATTGCTGTTCACTGTCCACTAATCCGATATGGAAATCCGAGAAGCAAAGTAAAAGTATTGCCGATTTATCTATGAATATATACAAGAGGGAGAGACGGATTATTGATAGATTTGACATATCTACGCGGTTCGGTGAATAAAAAGAAATTCAAATTTATTTCAAAAAACAAAACATTTGTCAGCTTTTCGGTCTTTAAAGCAAAGCGGCTCGCTATCCGTTATCACTGAATGATTTAGCTTTGTAAAAGAAATTCAATTTTAAATTTAAGTTAGGTGCTCGTGATAGCGTATCGCTTACGCCGCGAAACAATTTACAAGTAACATCTGTCTATCACATAACTGTAAAATGTAACATTCGCCGTTCGCTAACTTATTTTTCAATTAAACGTATCACTAGATTACAGAACTGACGCAAACTCATGATTTCTCAAAGTAATAAAAACACCTTATGCACGTCGTGTTCGGTTAATAATAGTATAATTTATTTTTCGTCGCTGCGTATTTTTATTATCGTTGGCTAGCATTATTTACCGATTTAAGTTCTAGCTAGGTACACACTGAAACAGCGTTGAAACTGTGTTAGAAGACCGTCTTCAATCTTGTGTCGATTTCCTTCGATTAGTTATTTACATATGTATATATAATGATAAGAAAAATGTTATAGAAATACATTATTAATATACACTAATCATACTAAGTCAATATAAAACTTCAATGTGGGACTATGCAAACGGCAAAGATCAAATTATTGTTCGAAGAGAGGAAATTAATTAACAAAGGTATATGCCAGTGGTTTTATAATGACTGTAACAAAATGGATACAAAATTCATAAGAGCAAAAAAAAAGAGTGTAAGTTATACAAATGTACGCTGCTCTGTAAACTGCTAAACAATAGAAAATTTTATATTGTAGCGCCTTCGCAATATATAATCTTAGGCGTGCGTGTGCAGTGCTTTCTGAGAAAAATGAAAAATTTGTAAGCAATCCAGCTAGATCACACGCGAATATTTACGCACACATTTGACGATGAACTAACTACTTCTTTCCAAGTGAGGCAATTAACTCCTCCACCTTTGCGATATATTGCTCTTTCGCCGTTTCTTGTCCCAGGCCCTGTTTACCGTTCCAAGCGTCCCATTTTGCTTTCCCTTTGAAGTCGAGCATACCTGGCCTCTCTAAACAGAAAGATTAGAAAAAAAAGTCATTGAAATTGTACATAAATACACGCGACAAGTAGTGAGCAGAAATTTTATGAAAACGCACCTGTGTTACAATCGCCGATAGTGGCTTGCTTGTACAACGCGTACAATTCAAGCAAATCCTCGTCCGCTGGCTGCGAAGCCAGTTCTTTTACTGCCGTGGCCGCATTATCAAATCTCTGAGAAAAGTGACGCATTTTTATGATCGTTTTATAAAAGATATTATTTCTCATGCCGACAGGAAATTAGTTTGAACGTTGTCCTTACCTCGTCCAGCGACATGATAGAAAGATGCTAGTATGGTTTCTCCCACGAAAGTTTATAATGCGATCTCGAGAAAAGATCGTACGAGAGGTTATGACGCTTGTGTGAACGGTATCGACAGGCACTGCGGCGAACACTACGTGGCCGTACGTAGCATACGTGGTCTTCTAGCTCAGCTACACGCAGCGGTGAATTTTTAACGCGATAATTATTGCTGACCTTTGAGCGGACCTAACCATTGATAAATGGTTCGATACTTTTCGCTAATTCATCTCTTAAAACCATGCAAAAATATACCGGCATCTTAGTAGACGAAATGACTGATATTAATATTATCAATACAACATCATTAATATAATTGATAAATTACACAGTCAAATCTTTTATTTGTCTAAATGTTTTTGCATACATTTCAAAATTACGATTATTCAAAAATAACTTGTTGCGATAAAAAGTTAAAAATGGCATTACTCAATATGTGTTGATTAATGCATCTGTAAGATTATATTGTAGATAAATTTTTTTCCGTTCGGATTCGATGATTCAGAAGCAGTGACGAAGAGAAGTGTGTTGCAAAATAATGTTTAATCTTTATCAACATGATTCACGTGACATGATGATGAAAGTTGCTTTATGCGGTTAACGTTCCCCTCAGCATCGATTGAGCATAAACGCAGTAAATTATTGAACGTAAACTGCAATCTACGCGGTGAAGTCAACAAATAATAAGAAGTTGGCAGTGTCGACCAATCGGCGCTTTGGATTTCATACATTAAGTCGATATTGTATTATGCAGCCAATCAAGTTTTGTGTTTCCTCTTTATTCCTCCAAGAATGCCATGCAAATCCACCATTAGGATTTGTCCAGCAGCTTGCATATCTGCATAATGCATATACATAGGAAAATGACGGATTTACATTCCTCTAATATGAATTTACATTCCGTCAAATTATTTCGTCCACAAAACTGAATCAAAATAATGTCCTTTTTAAAATTATTTTATGTAAATTGTACGCAAATATACGCGTCAAATATTCTATTTACGTTTCAAACAATTTTGCACGATCATCGTGGATGATAAAATATGTTTTTTTTTCCCCTGGAAAGCATACTGGCGCCACGCTTCGCTGATTAAAAAGGTGATACTCGTTTGAGCGAATACTTTACATAACAAAATTTGCAATTTCATTATTTTTGTCTTTCTTTCTCTTTCGCGTTTATATGTTAAAATATGTACTTGAGACTTTAAAAATATCAACGCTTTAAAAATATCAACGCTTATATAAAGAATACAATAAAGTATACGCGAATTTTTGACGAGTCGGCTCGAAATATGTGCATTGAAAAATTGATTCGATTTAAGGATGCAGACGACCTGAATACACCGTGCTATCGGAGCTATAAGTAAAAGGATCCAATCGTTAATCTTCTATAATTGCACACGAGTAAACACTTGTCACAAAATTATGAATAATCGATAGCACGAGAAGGAAATGCCGTGACGTTAGTCCGATTGCGCAAACAACGCTATAGAATTACTACCGCAAGAAAAAGCTCGGATTTCCCAGCTTGTCGTAGCAACGAAGAAAAATGGAAGAAACGAATAAACTCCCGTGTCGGATGTGGAGCGCAATGCCGACCATTTCCGTCGTATACCGGCGCGTTGCACCGTCGGGCCGCGCCGTATTGCGGTATTTTTACCCTTGACAACTAACTGGCTATTCACGATATACAATCGTTACTGCATTTCAGAATGTGACTGTTTAATCAAACGTCGCGTCGCTGCAAAAAAAAAAACTCGTTTAATCTAACAGTTTTTTTTTAGCACTCATTATTCCTCGTAACGCAACGCGTCATCGAGAATATTATCAGGCAAATTTATAAAATTAATTTAAAACGTCGCCGCTGAACTTACAGCGACTCTAATCTAATTTCTTAAGAATTAATCGATGGTGGTTCAACAAGGCATACACCGCTCCTTCGTCGTACGTTTAAACATTTTTTATTTTAAAAAATCATCTCTTGAACACGTGCGGATGGTAAGTCTTTCTTTCAGTGCAGCTCGCAACTACATTACCGAAAGAAGAGAGATTTTACGCAAAGGGTACGAATTAGAAAAGAATGTAAAGACACGCCGCTATAAATTGTAGTTGGCATTTCTCTGCAACGCTATGCCTAACGTATATACACTATACATCTGCATTGCGATCCAGCTTGGGGAGTTCGGAGTCTCCGAGCCTCAGACTCGCGCGCAAAGGATAAATTCGTGGATAAGGGAGGAGAGTCGCGGGGAATGGAAACTAAGTCGGCGTTTTTATAATCAGCGGAAATTGTTGATGATGACGATAAAAAGGTACAAGTTCTGCCTGTTCTCGCCTTTCTTTCGTACACGCGTACTCGCTCTTCTCTCTCATTCTTCTCTTATATTCCATTCTTTCAAATTCATATATATAAATATACATATATATGTATGTATATTTATAGATATATATATGTACATATTTATAGATATATAGATATATATATGTATATTTATAGATATATATACATTAGGTGCAATGTGATTATACTACATTTTACGCTAAGAGATTTGCGACATAGAACAAGATTTTTGATGCTTGGCCAAAGAGCAACAAAGGCAATTTTGATTGTCGCACGAATCTCAAACAATGCGGGCACAGTCGCGTTCAGTAAATGCATTCTGCATGACAAAGCTAAACACGAGTGAAGTTGAAGAACATTAGCATGCAAGGAAAAACTATGACTCGTCGTATTTAGCATTGGAATCGCGCTAATTTATAATACATATGTATGTATAAACAGGAGTCGCTACGAAATCTGTGTACTTTACACTATTGTACTTTAACACGCCTTCGGTGTCACTCCGCGCCGTCTTCTTGGATCGATCGCACAAATTTAATTTCTTGCCGCAGGCGATACTTGGAAAAATACTTCGAAAAGCACTAAGAAATATGTATTTATAGAAATTTATTTAAAATTACAGAGAATATCGCCGCAGTGCAAACGGAATATACTTCTTGATTTCTTATTAGCGCATATTTAAGCCAAACGGACGACGAGTCAATTAATTAAGAAAATTACATTTTTAGATAATAAAAATAAAGTATGCTAAATACGATCCATATATGTAACCTTCTCAAATATTATTTGAGAATAATTTGATACGTCGTGCGACTGTTCCCGCGCTGTTCAATATGTCACTGGAAGAATAATACACGACAATAATACTAAATAATACTAAATAATAATACTAAAGTGCTAGGGAAGGGGCAGTGATAATCCGTTAAGCAGCTAACGAGTAATGGAATAGCGAGTCGTTTCTACATACGGTTGATAATACACGAATGACGTTTACACGTTGAGTCCGGATGAGCGTGGATAGAGACGGATTATGCGAATCAATATTTTATTTATTTTATCAACTTGTTATTTTTCAGCTAAAATCATAAACATTCAGACTAACAATTGAAATTAGCAAAGCCTCGATTTTTAATTCTATTAATATTAAAAATTTTCTATTATTGGAATTTTCCTAATTAACTTATAACGTCTTAATTTCACAATCACTTACAAAACATATCTATAATCTACGTGAAGAGTCTTCGACTTCGATTCACGCCGATCGAATCTCTCCACTTAAATCGATAATACATCAGATTCGCTAATAATCGCAGATAGCAAATAACGTTGCAGTTATCTTTCGTTTTTAAAACAACAATTCTGATAATCCAAATCATTGTATCTAAATCATTGTATCTAAATCATTGTATTTGAAAATCAAAGAGTACAATCGATCTCGAAATGTCATGAGACTACGTACATGCTCTTTACATACAATATCATATAATGATATGATCGTGATTCACGTCGAATTCAATGAAGTTCAACAAAGATTTTGTTCGCGCGCCGGATATCGAACATCAAGTGTGTCGCGCGCTATTATGCTGCTCGCATAACAGACCCGAATTAAGAATGTGATGCTTTCATAGATGATAATGCAATTAAGAAACTTATATTAAATTAATGCTAGTTAAGAAGTAACGAGGTATGTATGAGGAGCAGAAAGAAAAACTTTCCTGACAGGAATATAAATAAAAGCGTGTGCGAAAACAGATGTGGAACTGAAATAAACTGGCTGAGTACTTGGTAAGCAGTCCACTGCGAATTTATAGGCAGCGTTAAAATTTGATGCACACGCACGCACACACACATACATACATTCGCACATATACAATTTCGAAAAAAATCCTCACCTCTTGACCTCACGTCGCAACAACCCTTTTAGTTATGCAAATTTTTCTGGAAGGTCTTACGTAAGTGTGTCATGCCCACCCGCGCTTACAATGATTTACTCGACTCCATACCATTTAGCTTACGTGTCAATCGATATAACAAAGTTCAATAGTATCTTGCGGCAGGCAGATAAGCTAACTTCCTTTTAAATCGATAGCGGGAGTGTAAATCTCATAATCCCGACACGTTTACTCCTATTCGTGATTTGTAACACGTGAGAAACAACATAGCAGAAGTCAAATTAAGCAGTTAATCGACGTAAATCAAGCAAGATTAACGAACGGATCGTGCTTGCCATCTCTAAAGTACAAGACAGGCGGCTACGCGGGTATAAACGCGTGAGAGACATAACATATCACACATACACAGATATAAACAGACGCACGAGCGCGCGCGCGCGCGCGCGATCGTCCTTGCACGCTTGTTGCATCGCGATGGACACGTTTGATGGTATTTCGAAACAGATTGTATACAATTATGCGTAATAACGAGAAAATTATCGTAGTCGCTGCTAGTCACATCGCTATGAGAAAAAAGTCAACAATTACGTGGAGATTCGCTGCTTTATCATCGATCAAGTCATTAAAAATGAGCCTCGGATCGGCCGTGAACAAATATATCCTACGTAGTCGACTGTTTACGTATTCGAAAACAAAATAAGGAAACGCGTTCTGCTACGCATTTATCAATTATTCACGAAGCGCAATTATTTCTGCGCTATTCGCAATTAAACAAGTTTAATAACGAAAGATTAACGTTGCGAAAAGAAAAAAAATTTAAGAGAAGCAAAAGTGATCGGAGTTATTCATTCTAATTCATTGCGAATGAGTCAAAACGGATCGCAGTGACTCAACGATTCGCTATCACTAACCGCGCGACATCGCTTTCATTGTAATTCATCAGCATGTATGCAGTCATGCGTATAGCCGGCATAATAAGCATCTCGTTATCCTATCAGTGTTGTTCGCGGGACAATGTCATTTCAGAATGTTCCCGATACAAATGCATCCTAAGTACGTGCGAATATATCAATACGCGTATTTTCCGAGCAACAAGAGATAGAGAGACAAGCGAAATAATCGAACGAAACTTGTTTGCCTACGCTTTCTGTTATTTCGATTTTTCCCCAAGTGAAACTAATTTATGAGATTTATTTGCGAGACGGCACGAGAATCATGTTGTTGTTCGTGTGCGCGAGATCGAGGCTACATAGATATATGATCGGCGCCAGATTAATCTTTTATTTTGCCTCGGATAGCCGCGTCGAGAAAAGATATCTCTCGGCCGTTATGACGTCTATCATACAGTGTGAACATACAAAACCCAATAGCTATTCCTCATTTTAGCTACACATCAACCGCACTACACTTTAAACGTATCGGAAGCTTGGGGAAAGACAGAAGAACATTTGAATTCGCGCGATAGCATTTTATCCGGAATATCGGTCGGACACACCGAGAAGCGAACATTCACGACGATTGAACTTTGAGAACGCGCTTCGCACACTTAGAAACGGTAAGCTTTCAAGTAAGTACTCCATTTACCGATGAAAATCTAAGGAATCGAATCGATTGTACATCGTTGCGCCTTACGATTGGAAAGCTTCGTATATTGTCTGACCGGGTTTTCTTTTTTCTTGCCTTTACGGGAATCCAATAGTGGCTCGCGGAAATTACAGACTATTTATCGCTCCAAGTGTGCGTTATTTGAGTTCGAAATGCCGCTTACTTAAACGCAGTTCCGCACTTGATGCACATATAAGAATATAAGCGCTCTATGGAAGGCTCGTCTGTGAAGCCGAACGGCTGTGACATACATAAGTACAGTAAGACACCGATCATCGGCGCAAATAATAGGACAATAACGCGCCTATTGTCAATTGTCCAAAAAAACAAAAAGAGATCAGCTAAAGATGTATTAAAAGAAAAAAAACTAAACAGCAAAAGTTGAAACAGAACTGACCTAATTACATCAACGATTTGAACGTAAATTGAGAAACTCAATTTACGATGTACGTCGATCATCAGAGGAAATTAATGTTCCGATCATCGGTGTCTGGGTAATTGACGTTTCACTGTATATGTATAAAATGGCTCTTCTAACGATAAGTACAGCGCGAGTACAGTTTTAATAAATCAACGGTAACGAACGTATCGCGTAAGCACGTCACCGTAGACATATATTTGATGCAGGACTTTACCAAGTTTCTAGGTCACTGACGATTTTGCATTCTGCTCGGAATTATAGAGTGAAAAATAAATAGATGCGGCGAAAATCATACACATGTGCGCATATATACAGAGAGAAAGAGAGAGAGAGAGAGAGAGAGAGAGAGAGAAAAGTACGTAAGAAATACGAGAGAAATACGTAATATACGGAATTACAATGTACTCGCGATATATTCAAGCCTCAAATCGATTGCGCACGTATCTGAACAGCGGTGTTGAAGAACTTCCTCGTCAATCTTTTCCCTGTTATTTCCCTGATGATTAACCATTAAGAAAGGAAAGAGAAACCACGCTCCTCCGGACTCTCACATTTAGCGGCTCGTTCAGTTGCAGAATTCACGCAATCGAAAAACGATACATTCGCGCGCGCACCAATTTCGACGTGTCGTAATTATAGAATTGCATTTCTGTAACCGATACGCGAAAGGACGAATGCCGTGCGGTATCGCCACGAAAAAAAGGGCGCGATACTGTCGACATTGTACATCTGTAATCGCGACTAGGTATTTACGCGTACATACACACTGTAAAAACTATTGAAAATAAATAATCTTCGCAGCAAACATTGCACTATGTTGAGCATATTGTGACTCAATGGAAATGATACATGTCAAGCGTTTTCTTCTCGTTGGCTGTTACGCGTCGACGCGCCACTATTCAATGTTTAACGTACAGATTGACTTGACCAACTTTATGCTTCCCGAACTTTATACTTTTCCGACATGCTATTCGCTTTTTTCTTGTTTTACGTACGTTAATATTACGCCTTACGTTCTCTATTTCATTTCTATACTCTTAAATTTTTCAAATCAGAAGCTAATTAAAATATAACAAAATAAGTTCTACTCCTATACTCTGTCCACGCTTAGAAAGCCCCTTCACTCCACAGGGCTGCTCGTGCAGCTTGTCAATGCCAACGCTCTCCCCACTTTGCCCGCTATACTTCTATGCGCATACCAAACATATTCTCTCGCTGGACAGAGTATATATAGTCTAACTACTCTAACTACTCCTACTATATATTCTAAATAAACATAATTCATAAGTTTTTATCCATTTATAACTTTTGCCCCTTGGCACGTTTCTAAATTATACCAAATTAAGAAAAACAATAAAAAAAAGAGAGAGAGAGAGAGAGAGTTCAATAAGTTGGACGAATCAGTCTGCACAATAAGTCTAAAATAATCACGTGTACAGCGTATGCGTAAACAAGGCGTTCCAAGGATCACTCATTTTTGCTATGTACAGGGTGTCTCATGGGAAATTACTGAAACTATTAAGCTGTTATTTTTAAATGCACACAGAGCAAGAAAAATAAAATATTCTGATGGAGGGCAATGTTTGCATTTTTGCAGTTTTATTTACATATAAACTAAAGGCAATCGGAAATATTTTTATCATTAAATAAACGTTTGTAAAAAGTGTTTCACTAATTTTAATGGTATATATTTTTAAAGTGCGTCAGAATTATAATAAAAATTAAGTCGCTTTTAGAAACTATAAAAAACTTTATGTAACATAAGTCAGTTACAGTTTCCGAAAACGACTTAACGATTTTTAATTCTAACGGTGCGCATTTCGAAATATATACCATTAAGATTAGCGATTTGTCATTTTTATTTTATAAACGTTTATTTGATGATAAAAATATTGTCTTCAGTTTATATATAAGTAAAACTGCAAAATATCCCCTGTTAAGATATTTTACTTCTTTTCTTTCCTATGTGCATTTAAAAATTACAGCTAATTAGCAACTTCCCACGTAGACACCCTGTAGTACAAACTCCATGTCAAAATATGAAGTGATTCTAATAATGGCGAGTTTTACTAAGTATAGTTCAACATTTGAACTATTACATTTCAAAATCAAATAGTAAATTAAACAATGAAAAATACTCAGTTCATTACACTTAATTCAGTTACTTACACTTAACCGCTTGACTCGGCTTGATAAAAATTTATCTCTTTACTCATTGTCAAATAAAAATTAAAAAGATATTAAAAAAAAATTAGCTCTGCGAAAAAGAGATACGCCGCGATAACGCCGAAACACCTCGTGTACACCTTTCACTTAACAACGAAATACAGTGAAACACACTCTCATTATTTATTTAGCTACTTGACTCTGATAAAAATTGATCTTTTTTATCTCTTTAATCGATTGTAAATTAAAAAGATATTGCTGTATGAAAAAAATTAGCTTTACGTAAAAGAGAGATACGCCGCGATAACAGGAGCACCTTGTGTACACTTTACCAGTTTATCAGTTAAAAAATGAGATTTACCTAGCTTGACTCATGCTCACGCACTCACGCACGCATTCGCACACATATGAAATTGAATTTTTCTCAATATTTGACTTTCGCCTTAACTTCTTCCGCGACGCCGCCCCACTTGAGCTTGTAAACGCGCGAACGCCACTGTATGAGTGGATCCAGGACAGCCTGGAAAAATAGATACGGTCTCGATATTTCGCTGAGCAGCCAGCCACACACAAAATCGAGTTTGCTGAAGGGCAGCGGGCCGTTCTGCACAGTGCACAACAGCGTCCAGTCGCACATAAACCACAAGAGCATATGCACAAGAAAAAAAACTAAAAAGTTCCACTCGAACAACTCGTTAGCCGACCAAGAGGCGCACAAGCCTAGGACACCACACTCGCTCAGCGGTTCGAAAACAATCGTGGTTGGCAGCATCGCCACCCTGAGCTTCGCCCAGCGTCGCAGCCTCGCCTGGAAGGTGTAGACATCGCAGTGGCCGCTGTTCTGCAACGCCGGCTGCGAGGAGACGGTGATGCGCCAGCCGCGATCCGTCAGCGCCTTGGCGTAGAAAAAGTCCTCCGCGAGGTAGATGCCGAACGCCTTGAGGCCGCCGACCTCGTCGAGCGTGCACTTCCTCAGCAACGCCGACATGCCGGTGTGGCAGTTTATCTTGAGGAGATCCGCGGCGAGGTACATCCGCGACTGCACGGTGCCGAAAAAGATCTTCTCGTACGCGGCGGCGAAGCCCTCGCGGTCGTAAGTGAACGGCATCTGATGGACCAGTGCCACCTTGTCCGTCATGTGATGCGCCATGTCGAGCAGAGTGTCCTCCTTCATCCGTATACCGCTGTCGCTGATCAACACAAACTCATACTTGGCGGCCTCGTACGCCGGCTGCATATTGTTGATCTTGGGATTCACCCCCACGTGACAGCCGCCGACGAAGAGTCTGGCGTCGACCTCCGGATACTTCTCGATGAGCTTGCGCACCAGCATCAACACGGGATCGGAATCGTCCTCTACACAAAACAACAATTCATAACGCGGATATTCCATCGTAAAGAAAGTCTCGAGATTGCCGAACAGATTCGGATCAACCCCCATCAGCGGCTTTATCACGGAAACGGCCGGCAGGGGTGTCTCGTAGGTCGGCGCCTGGTTCATCTTGCGATGCAGCTTCCAACGGCCGGCGATCAACGCCAGCACGTGCACCACCCACATGCCCGACCAAAATATCATGCAGAATATCGCGCACCCGTAACTAGTGTATAACATGGAGTTCATTTTCCAGGAGGGAAAGGAGCCGGTAGCTTTTTATAGGCCGCCGCGCGATCCTAGCGTGCCGGCGTGCCCGAACCGGCGGCACTCTCTTCTACACCCTCCTTATTCCGCTTTCTGTCTGTTAAACCACGCCGCGACCGGACGTCCACGTGCGGGCGCATCATCGGTAGTCCTCGACGGTACTGCTCGACGCAATAGTAGGCTGCTCACGTCGGGCGATTCGCCCTACTGACGCTCGGCCATTGCTCGGCGTTTCCTCACGACGGCGGCGGCGACGGCGACGACGACGACGGCGGCGACGGCGGCAACGTACTCGCCCCGTGCAACGCATTCACGCCTTTAAACGGACCGTACGACGTTGCGCGCCCGCTCGCCTCTTATCGCCGTCGACCGCTCCGACTGCAATAACCTCGCCGTGACACACGCGCCAACGAGCGCGTCAACTGCGTGCCCCGTCCGCAGCGGCGGCGGCGGCAGCGGCTGCACCGCAGCGACTTTGCTCTGTGTCGACCGGATGCGATTCCGTCTTCCGTCGAATAAACAGAGCTTCGCTTGATACACCTAAGGCGGCAACGTCGGGCCGCATCGTCGTCAATGATCAATTTTACTTCGCACTGAGCGCTCGACGATGACGCGCGGCCAGCTTCGCCGACAGTCACACCGAATCTGTCACTTCTCGCCGCGCGTACGGTTCGTAGCATTGACACTTTTCTATTGACACTAGCGCGCCCGACGACTCGCGGACTACCGTCCTCGCACCTTACCTCCTCTCAGTGACCGGCTTTTTATCCGGAGCACTAAGATCGAGCGACCTCGTGTCCCGCGCGCTACCCCTCCCGTTCCGTCGCGCGAATCGAACGATTCGGCGAAAGCGAAAGGGACTCTTGCGGCGCGATGCACAGGTTCGTCCCGCGACGCCGAAATGCCTACCGATGTGACGCGAGTTGTGACGCGTCACATCGACTATGTCTTCCGCGTCTCTCCCTCTCTCTCCCTCTTTCACTCTCCCACATATATGTTATACGTATACGTCGTGGATCTAAACTTTTATTTCGTCATGGATGACTCACTTCTCCCGGTGATTCTTTGTATGTGTTACTCTCCGCATTGACGCAATCGTTGCGAAAACTGCACCGAATGTCACGGGACGATGAGAGATTAGATTTACTTTGCGATTATTGCTAAAAGATCGCTAATTAGAATCGATAAAATTCGAGGAGGCACGCGCCGACGATGAGGCACGACGATTGGAAACTAGCAAACTAGTCAAAAGAATAGATATATTTTCTGCACTATATTCTCCTATACCTTTCCTTTCTTCTTTCTCTCTCTAACTTTCGATTGCATTCCTATTTCGAGTGCAAAGAGTGCAGCATAAAAACAGGTTTATGCAGGCTTATGAATGCTCGATTCCACGAATAGTCGATGCATTCGTTTTTGCAATAAATAAAAATACTTAACGATTTTTAGATCAAAGCATCATCAATCATCATTTGCATCTCATATATTAGATTATTTTTATCATTTATCCAACTGTGATTTTAACAATATCGTATAATTTTCAGTTGAGAAAACGCCATCTGCGTCGCCTCTCACCTTCCGTAACCTTGTAACGAGATCCATATTTTATTACCGTCGATAAGATATCTAAAAAAAAATAATTACGACTGATTGCATAAGAATGATTGTATAAGCAAGACTACAGCAAATTTGATCTATTATTTATTATTTATCACAATTTTTTTTATTATAAACGCTTGACGCGAGATACAAACAACATATATACAACGCATGCATTTTATGATTCTACATAATAGAAATAGAAAAAAGAAGAGTACACAATATTTATGTCCTAAATTTTTTAAAGAGAGGATGTTTATTTGCTGTCGATGAGCTAGCAGCTTTCTTGTATTCGTAGTAGACAGCATCATCCGCTCCCGACATTGATGTCATATTGCCAGCTTTACGCACAATCTGAAAAAAATTTAATAATATATATACACATGTAGACATATTAATTAATTATTTTGAAAACTTTACAGAGTTATACAGATCACACTCTGCACTTACCGGTCTTAGTCCATCGCCAGGAATCCTCTCTTCATCTGCATCTGTGTCATTGGCCGTTAAAACTTGTTGCAACAACTGACCTTGCTCTTCTCGGCTTACATAACTCAAATCCGGCTCCTGTGCAAATTAGAATTACAGATTGTCGTTCTAACTCTGCGCGACCATTAATGCACAGCTTTGCAAACATAAAAACAATACTATGACTAATTATCTTATCGATTACGCTCTTACCTCATCCATGCCAGCGAGTTTTGTGATAACTTTATATGCATATCCTTGATTCACGAGAAACCGTTGACGCTTCCTCGAATAATTCATTTCCATTGTATCTTGCGACACGAGTGTGTAAAAGAATGCGTTATACTCTTCCGCGATTGCTCCTGCAATAAAATTTATGATCACAATCGTAAATTTACATACAATTAATATAAAGAAGAAGAAAGTTTTACCTTTTTTAGCTCTAAGAATACGTCCCAATCGTTGTGCTTCTTGCCTTCTAGATCCACCATGGGATGAAATTTGAATCAAGACATTTGCCTCTGGCAAATCAAACGAAGTATCCGCTACTTTGCTCACAAATATCGTATTCACTTTCATATTAAATTTGAAATTTTGCAGAATTTGTATTCTTTCGTTCTGAAAGGTATAAACGAAATGAATTATAGTAAGAAAGAAGAGTTGCTCTTAAAGTTAAATTTTAATATAGAAATTATTATTGCAAGGTGCTGACACAATTTACACTTACCTGACTAGTAGGCCCATAAATATACGGCTTGTTCATTTTAATAGCGTAGTGCTTCAATGCAAACACATTGTCTGAGAAGACAATTGTTTTGTCGCCACGTCTTTCGTGATATCGAATCAAATATTGGCAGCAACGAAATTTGTTTGGATTCATCACGTATAATAACTGAAATTATAACGAAATTTCATGTACGCATTAAAACTTACAAATTATGTGGACATAATAATAATAAGTGATAAATTTCTAACCAGTTTTTTGCTCATTTTGCAGGCAAGATATTCTCTGTAAAATTCCGGCGTCATTGGGCACCAGACTTCCGCGCACTGAACTCTTGCAATAAATCCTCTCTTCTGTAATTCTAACCAATTAGCCTCGTATAATTTAGGACCAATTAAAAAGTTCAGATCGGCGATCTTGTCGTCTTCTCGCAAGAGCGTCGCTGTCAATCCCAACTTACAGTGAGACTGAACAATCGTTAATACTCTACGGAACATTTTTGCCGGAATAGTGTGTACCTCTAAAAAATTATGAAAGGACAATTATTATCGTACAAAACTTACCATAAGTTAAAAGTTTTACTTTGTTAAATGGTAAAGCTTACCGTCCAAAACCATAATACCCCACTCCTGATCTTGAAGCCATTTCATCGTTTGCTCAGCTTCCCAAGAACGTTTCTGAGTGTGAGTGATCATGGAATATGTGGTTATCAATATCCCGCAACCCATGGGTTTGTCCTTCGCTTCGCTGGTAAATCGACAAATCATGGAATCGTCGGCAGTGGACCACATTTTAAACTGCTGCTTCCACTGTTCTACAGATACACCGGAGTTGCAAAGTACCAGGGCGCGTTTACGTACGGTACAGCAAGCTGTTACACCGACCAAACTTTTACCAGCACCTGCGTATAAGATTCGAAATTACAAAAGTAAGCGCTTCAGTTCTTTTGGTCACTTTATGTTCAATATAACTGAATGAGATTTTTATCTTTTTATATCTATTGCTTGTTATTATTTATTTGAATTTACTCACCGCAAGGTAAGACTATCACTCCGGATCTAGCTCGTCCATTGCCAAACATCTTCCGCAAACTTTTTTCCTGATAAGGTCTTAAGACGGCTGATGGCTTTAGATCGATACTGGAATGTTACAAATCATTATCTTTAGTTTTTATTATAAGAGACGAAATTCATTACCTTTTATCGGTTTTACTTACTTTATGTCTGGGTTTATAGTATCATTGCGAAAATCGTATTCCGCCAATAAAGGATGCTCCAGCTCGATACATCGCTTCTGTATAACTTCAATTTTTTCCTTTTCGACATAATAGAAAATGCAGTTTTTATATAAATCTTTTATATAGTAGAATTTATAGACATATAGAATTAAGTGTAAATTAAATCGATACATACCTGATTCACCTCGAAACTAACTGTTTTTAATTCTTGCTCTTCTTCTTCGTCTTCGTCCTCTTTGTCAATTTTGTCATAAAAGGCAGTTATATCTTCTGGAACGGTAGCTGTTTCTGCTACTATTTGCTCAGGTTCGGGTTCTGAATTTGTTTTACTAGATGCAGCAGTGTTTGTGGTTGCCTTTGACCCAAACTGTATTCCAACGTAAAGAAACACGTACTTTTATATATACATATTTTGACATATATTTAGATATAACTTGATTCATTATTGGCACAGATTGTACAAACCTGTGGAACTTTTATTTTGGTTTGGATATTCGTGACAATGTCATCAACTTCTGTATTCTCTACAATCTTCCTCAACCGACATTCTTGAATTACTGGATCCTTTAGTAATTTTTGTAACACTTCAGGAAATGGCGATTCAATGAAATATTTATTATGTTTTAAGACAAGTTTAACCTGTATAAAATGTGTTTTATGAATCTTATTTCTTGACAATATCGAACAAAATATTTGTAGAAATTAATTTTACTCACTTTTCCATAAGACAATGTGCACAATTTTATAAACTCAATTATACCATCAGGAATACTGGTCTTACTTAACCTCTTTAAATATTCTATTATATCTTGCGTTTGTAGGCCAACACTAACTGCAGCATAGAGCGAATACGCAGTCAGCTTATACTGAAAAGTAACAATAATGTACATATTATTCTCTTTTTCTTCTCAGTAAATATTCAAAGCTTTCTATCAATCATATTTTCAATCATACCTCATGAATATGTTCTGGCCTGCATACAGGCTCTGATATAGCAATTAAAAAATCATGAGCATGTTTATACACAGGAGAAAAAGATTCCAAAAAGATATGTCCATTTGGTGCCTGTGGAAATTACAAGCATTTATATTTGGAATATTTTTAATTGTAACATAGTACAATTTTTTAAATTTAAATCCTTCGTCAAAGTTGTATCAAATTTTAATCTTACCACCCATAATGGTCTGGATGCACAATCTGGCTTTAGAATCATTTGCGAGCGATAGTCCTTTGCCCCAAATTCATCCTCAAGCGCATTTTCATCTTGCTTTTCCACATCATTCTTTGCCGCATCAGGTACACCATCTGCTTCATTACTATCCATCGAATCATCATCGTGATATTCATCGTAATCGTCCTTGCGCTTTTTCCATTTACCTTTATTAGTAAATGTAAGTAATGAACACAATGGGATATAATTATCATTTTACAAGTTGCACATAGCATAATATTAACTATAAAACATACGGATGTAAAAAGTCGAGCAAAGAGAAATATGAATAGAAATATGAATTTATAGTAAACAAAAATGGGGATAGAAAGATAATTTATAGAAAACTTATAGAAAAGATATATGTTACGCACTGTTGTCCTTTTTAAAGCGCTTTGGTGGACCCATTCTTTAAAAAAGCTATTATATATACTAATATCTTCTTTTTATAAATATATGTCTCCTTTAAGACATCATTTATCTTAATTTTTTGTGTCTGCTCAGTAAACCTGTAACACTAATACCTCGACACACTTGGACCACTTTGACGATCTTTGAAGAGTGAGAGTATATTGCTGTATTTCAGGTATGGTTGGGTTAAGTCAGGTAAGGTTAATAATTATAAAGTTATTCGCTGCCGCAAGGTAGCGTATGCTGTCTGTCCACGTGTGCTTATATATATTCCCTGATTCCCGCCAATTTCCACGAAGATGACTGAACTGCACGATTATTTGGGCTTACATTAGTAAATCCACGGACTTAAGCTCATGCACTGTGGTCATACATATACACTATACTCACACTTACACATACAATTAAAAATTTTGCGCAAGAGAAAGTACTTATTAGCAAAATAAGCTCAATCCCATCATTTTTTTTTCATATTACAGGATATTAGACTTCTATAAAATAGGAATTAATGAACGGAATGTTTAAATAAACAGGAAGATAGGAATATACAGTAAATTGTCAATAAAAAGAAAAGTAGAAAAATCGATAAAATTTATCTAAAAGAATATTTACAAAAATGTGTACATTGTTTCATATTCACACGAAGCACTTGTCAATACATTACATAGATCAAATATATCGAATATCATCGTGAGAGAATGTTACCACCAGCAGTAAGACTCTCTTCATCAATAACTCCTAAAAAGTATAGGCATGCCAAAGCAGCGCCTTGTTCAGCCCATTTTTTCTTTTTTTCCCTGAAAAAAGACACGGTAAAAAAATAGAAGTAGACGAGAAAAAGATTATTATTCCAATTATAGTTTACCAGAAAGAGGAACCATATTTCCTGCCATCGACAGTAACCACAGAACAGAAAAGCTTGTCCTCCTGCCGAGTATTGTAAACCGGCATCTTTTTATGATTTTCCGTGGTCCACTTGAGTAATCTCGTCTTTGGCAACTTTGAGTCTGTAGTATAACTGCCCCTCAAAAAGGCACAACGCATCAGAGAAACGTCTTCTTCTTCGTAAATTTTTCTTTTCTGAGAGACACAATCTGCCGTATCTTTGTCGAGCATTACTGGTGTTACTTGAAACCGGCCTAGTAAGCCTTTATCTTGAAACTCCTTGCTTCTGGTTCGGCAATAATCACCCATTCCCCACACCTCGCTGTGCCAAAGGAAAGTTTAATAAGCGCAAATAAAGTATAAAAGGAATAATGAAACACTCACCATATTTGTTCCAAAGTCTGCGCGTCAAGGAATCTTCTGCCAAGAGGAGATTCCTGAAGCTCCCGCAGAATATTCTGTATGCAATACTTTGTATTGGAAGGGGAATTATCGCAGTCAATCGCATGCTTTAAATACGCTTTTATAACATCTTCTATTGGGAACGCACCTTCTTTACGAAATATTGAGCAATTCCATTGAGCTGCACGAGCGAGCATTACACTACTGCAACCCGTTTCTTCTTTAAACCTATGGAAACAATGTTAATGAACAGGATTTTTTTAAATAATGATGACAATAAATGTCGACACGTGTGAAGGCGTTACCTAAGTATATCGGAATGCCTTTGAATATCTTTGGATCCTCCATTTGCGATGACAGGTATCGATAGTTTCTCTGAAATTTGCTTGAGAACATGATTGCGATTAGGATGTTGCGGCCTTTCCTCGATTGTGCGACCATGTACAGCGATAGCTGCAATACCAGTGGAAGCAAGAGTGTCGCAAAGCTGAAGAGTCTTTTCAAGATCCGGCAAAATGCGTATTTTGCAAGTGATTGGTATAGCTACAGTTTCAATCAACTTTCGCAAAATATCGGTCGCTTTTTGCGGTTCACTGAGAAGAGCGGCACCCATTCCACCGAGCAGTGAGAACTTTTTTGGACAACCCATATTGATATCTATGCCGGCAATATCATTTTGCATCATACGACCGACTTCAGCCGCTCTCTCTGGATCCGACGTGCCAATTTGGAGAACGACATGCTCTCGTTCTCGTGGACAAGTACGAAACGCCACGGTACCGTCCGTCTTGTCAATATAATCGATCGTGCCCAGGACATCTGCAAAACAAATGATCAAATTAGAACCATTAAATAAGATTTTAAAGAATTAAAAATATATTCAGAGTTTTGTTAAAGCACCAACATTTTTTGTTATTGTGTATTTAACGTGCCGTCAACCATATATTATTTGGTTGGTTTTTTGACACTGAAATAAAGCACCAAAATACAAAAGTAGAGGTTAAGTCAAGGAAAATAAAATTTGCCTTCAGAGGAACAATATTATTCGATTCAACTTAACAAAATTCGGCACAAATGAAAAAGAAGATTACGATATGATCAATAAACTTAATTGTACTGAATATTCAACAACAAATTTTCATGCTGAAGCGTGCTTCAATCAACACAAAACTTTTTAGACTTAACGTCGATGTGTCATATAAATTTTGGAGCGATTATTTTCGAATGCGGAAAAAAGCAAATTTTACCATTTTCTCGACGAATCGAACGAAGTAGCTTTTTATCGATCAATTCCTCGGTGTAAACTATGTCCGCACCGTAATCCAGAGCGAGCAAACGCATCGGAAGGGTTCCGATGCGCACCATAGGCGCCAAAATGAGTTTGTTGTCATAATTAAGTCTCTTTCTTGTAATTGCAATCGGTTTCTCTTCCATATTATTATGAACGTCGCGCTACGATTGATGCAAACTTGCGGTGATCAATACAGCCGGATCCACACGTGGCGGACCTACACATGGCGGATATCAATAAACGAAAGGCGATGGCCTTTTAAACATAGGAATTCAAAGTGCAGTTTATCATGTGATCTGTTTGTAGGTGCATTTCTCTCCCTCCTTATTTGCTTTTCTCTCTCTCTTCTCTTTCTCCCTCTAATGCCTAATCATATATCTCTTTCAATTTGAGTGTACGAAGTATGACACGGTGCAGCTACGAAGAACAGATCTGCAGTTGATTGCGGTCAAGTACGCGATGTGGTCTTTTTCGTTCCTTATGTCATCCCGTATCTCTTACGTCTTTTTACGACTCGCGTAGATTCACACAATATTTCGCAACATTGTGGATTTAGTTCGCTCTTCTACTATGACATCTCATTTGATGTCACGCGTCCCCGTTTCCGGCCGGCTAGGCTAGGGCTCGCGACGACGAAGCTGCCGAGTGACGACGCAAAGTACTGCGAAAAGATCAACAACGGCGATTCGGATGGGAAATTCGATCGGCCGTCCTCGTTCAGGCGATTGCAAATTATCTTGGGAGACGAGTTTCACTAGGAGCCGGTGATCATGGTGAACGCGGGCAGCGTTGTGGCGCACTTCGTGAAACTGCTGGTGACCACGATATGCATGGGGCATCTCGCCGAGCCTTATCGGGCGAAGGCCCAGCCGACTACATGGTCGCTGCGTGCCTTTCGTATCCTCTTCATGCACTCGATTCTGGGGATCTTCAGATACGGTGAGATGAATCTGTCTATAGATTTTGTATATTATTTACCTGTTGCTCCTTTTATGAATATCTCGTTTCTATCAAAATCTCTGGGAGGTCGATCAATTTCAACTCTTTTTTTTTTCAATTTTATTCGGTTGATGTGTTGTTACTCTCTGATTTTGTTTTCAAATAATCCTAAACAGAAATAATATATAATTTCAGCTTATTATTTTGCTATTCTTCCAATTTCAATTGTAAATATCTTTCTCTTAACTTGGTGACACACCTTTTCTTGGCACTCTGCCTCTTTCGATCGCTGTTTTCTTCAAAGCATAATAACTTATAGGTATGGACCACCTAAGATTCCATGTCATAACTTTGGGGGGGTCACAGCGAAGAGCAGTTGATACAAAATGACACATGGCCACACATGGTATTTAATTTTTGTGCCTAAATCAGGAATGGAAGAGGAAGGTGTTTTTCAACATTAAGGATTCAACGGTAATTTTGTACAAATTATTCACTAGCGTTGGAACAAGTGAGGAACCACTGCGAAAGAACATATTTGATTGTACCTTAGACATTTCTTTATGCTTCTAAGTCTTTAATTTTTTCTCACATCAAACTAACAGCGTTTGTACTTCACAGCTGTTTTATATTGTTTTTTAAATTTATAAGAAATTCATTTCACTTTCTTTTTTTTTTTAATTTTAATCTTTTCAAACATATACGATCTTAGCGCTTGAAGGAAAATATTTAACACATATATTAGAACATTTTGTACACAAGTGTCAACGATCTGTAAGCTTTTAGGCGCATGTTTGTCACGATACTTTTGCACATACCTTCACCACAATATTAGACTCTTTGTATCGTATGCAAATCTTAGCAAGCACCATCCACCTAACTTGTTTCTGTTGCATCTCTACATAATATTATATTTCTTACATGTTCCAACAAGTTCCAACACGGCAACGATAATCTAATAGTTTATGGTATGGTCATGTGATCGAATTACACTCTTGATTGCGTACACTGTTTTTCTAGAAACTACGGCACAGTTATAACATCGAATCTTGTATCCCTTCAACGTCTGCTTAAATCGATGATGTATGCTTTGCTGCTCGCGTATTTGTTTTACCTGCAATTTCAATGTTTACAGGAGTGCCGTTCACTTCGTCGTCGACAGCTACAGCGAGATTCTTCCGGAGCTTTTACGATTGGTTCTCCAATGTCATCGAAATTGTTCCTCTGGCACTGCTGACGTCCGGCATACTGAGCGCATATCAGATAGATGAAAGGATTCGTATGCTATTACTGTTCTTTGGTATAGTGCCGGTGTTCTTTCCACTCGCGACAAAAGGGAAGGGCAGCCGAGTCAAGCTCCATTTTCTCACTAATATCACTATCACGCTGCAGATACTGGCGATAATGATACTCGGCCTGCAAAACGGCAATTACAATGTCATTAGTTTGGTTGCTTCCTATACGTTCGAGCGTTTCTTCGTGGAAGAGTTTTGTTATCGTTATAGCATACCGTACACTGATTTGATGCAATATTGCATATGCTTTGTCGAGGTGTTCACAGTGTCAACGCTGAACGAGTTGTAAGATGCCTAGGACTGCCACTATGCGGTTCAGCTATCATTATTGCCCATTTCCAACTGTCGTCATCTAAAATTCAACAAATTATTTAGTTCACCAAACAAAGAACGTCAATTCACGAAGTGGTAAAGATTTTACGCCGGTTATAATAATCTTACAACAATTGTTCGATAATAGATGTTATAATACGTAACAATAGCGTTATTTTGTTATCAATTTGCAAGTTAGCTCGCCAACTTGCTGCGTAAGTCGGAGTGAATAATTGTGCTAAATCTTTATACAAATACATGTCACGTCTCAGAAAGAACTGCCGATTTTTTAAAAGTATAAATTACAATTTGTAATATAACAAGATTTGGTATGCCACATTTTTTATTCCATTTCATATTCTGATATTAAAAAGAACAGTTTCTCTCTTTTTTGATAACTGTATGCTTAACACACTCCGTATGATCCAACTAAATCCTTTTGGATTTATCAGACACTCTTTTTTGTAAGGTAGACGAGATGTCTGTTCTAATTGTTACTTAATATTTTTATCTAGATTGCCAATCTAAAGAAAATATTTAATCTTCGGCCTACTTTAGTGCTACGAATACGTACATATACAAAAATGGCCATAAAATATGATCTTATAAGTAATAGCGGTTTATTCCGACTTTGCTATTTAATATGTAAAACCGTTTGTTATCTGACAGGTTTATCGTCTGTACAAGCGCGGCAGACATGTTTTATAACGCATTGTTAGAATTCTTAAGAAAATTATCTAATCTAATGATGGGTAACGACGTCATCAAAGCACAAATTTTCTGAGAGGGGATCACTCTCTCTGCGTATCCGATACTAAGATTTACGTACTACAATTTATCTGTGGTTGTATCAGGATATTTTTCCTATAATATTTTGATATGTAATGTACGGTGATCATTTTTCCACAAGATTTTGCTACAAATTTATCAAAGATGTATCACCTTCCGAGATATTAAATTTTTCCTACAAAAACTTTACTGAGTCACTCATTTATCTTAATAGCGGCACGATTTCAAAGGATTCCTTTAGGTCGGAAATAACATATGATCATCAGTGTCATAAATTGCACTGACATGTAATAATAACATACACTACGTGCACCGCATGTCGAAGTCGTCGCCGTACGCTAAATTAACCTGACGTTATTTAAGCTGTTGGTTGTCTAATATATTTCTTAAAATAAGGTGAAAAAATTCCACGATTTTCCGCGAGCTACATTTGTGGAACAGAGTGGAATATAGCCGAGATGATTTTAGAAACGATTCTGTCATGTGATTATTTATTCTTAGCGTCTGTTTCTAGCATTCTTACGCTTCAGAGTTATTCGTACAATCGGTATTCGTCCTTTCTGTCTCACTATATGCACACGTAGACGCTTTTAACATGTGCGCTCATTTATTCAGAGTTTTGATGTTCCAGATTTTTATGAATTATCTCTAGTGAGTTTATTTGATGTATGATAAGTAACTTGTCAGAGATTTTTTTAGCGACACACGACGACACTTAATCCTTATTTATTACTTTTGCTAGCATAAAATTTAAATCGCTTAATTAAATGGAATTTGTTTTACGCTACTTGCTTGGCATCAACAGTGATAAATAATAGCGGTGTGACTTTTTTACACTAAAATTTCGTCCGTGCGTATGTAAAAAGAAATAGAAGAGAAGATTAATCTTTAAAATATTCGCGCGTGACGTTAGTGTTAAAGAATCTCGGCGTTAATTTGGCGCGAGCCAAATTGCTCCGCGAAATTTGGCACCGTAATGCAATCAAGTTCCGTCGCCGATGCGTGGATATACCGAAAATATTTCCAATAAGACTGTTTACATTATAGCCGTGGCGGCTGCTACGCACAATTACACTGGCGTATACCGGCGAGAAATATGTTCTTACGAAATGTAAAACGATCGCGATCAGTAATAATTTCAGCGACTCGAACGGGAGAGGTGCCTCTGACCTATTTTTTCCTCGACTGGAAAACGTGCGAACGCGATGATGAATCGTTTGCACGAAGCTGGAGGAGGAGCGGTCCGATATATTTTTACACCGTTCTAGCTGCATGCTAGAGTCACGGTTGTAATGGTTTGCAGCCGCGAAACAGCCGCGTAGGCAGCGACCTTAGAACGGCAATACGGCCCTATTTCTTAGAATATCACCTATTAAACGATCGCACTGCAATTATACTGTTCATCTATTTTTAATGATTCCGCCAATTAAATATACTCACGTTACCGAACTTACAAACTATGCGCCACTTTAACATCGCCTCTCTCTCTCTCTCTCTCTCTCTTTGCTCTCTTTCTCACTGTCTCTCCTTGTAGTATAAATTCATTCACAAATATTACGAATACATGCTAATTTTACACATTTTCTGCATGTGTCATTTGTCTGACGCTTATCCGGCATCTCGAAAATAATCTGAAACAAACAGCGCTATTCAATTATCGTCGGAAAAGCATTTTGAGGAGGAAGTTTTCGTGATTGATTCTTACATGATTCGGATATTATTAGCAATATATTTTATCGTTGCGTATAGATATGTTAAATAGATTACGTGAAGGTTGTCTTCGCGCCTCTTAAATTGATTTTTATTCTTTAACCGAGAGATTTCGTTGCATCGGAGCCTATAATAATATGCACCGTCGCGTGATATAACAGCGACCTTCCTGTAAACGTAGAGAAGCCGTGGTACTTATAACATATTTCATTTTTCGCCCGCGTTGCGCTCTATTTTTGCGTCCACCGACTTTCTAGCTGGTTTAGCAGACCCGGAGAGGAAGTCTTTTATACCAGGACAGAAGGACCGATGCTCTTCAAGTGTCCGTCGGCCGCCGTTCGCCGTACGCTACTTCGCGAATTTCTTATTCTTAATTTTATATTAGCGGTCGCAGAAGCTCCCTCATTAATCATGGTAAGATTAAATAAATCCCCATGGTAAGATTTAAAAAATGAGCCCGAAAATAATTTATCTGTCTGTCGAAGAAAAAAAACTATAAATTAAAGACTCGTAAAAAAGATTTGCAAGTGCCATATTTGGAGAAACGGTAACATAAAGCACTCGGCGTGCCTGCTATTTCTAAAAATATTTCCCGAATAATGAAGAATGTAATCCAGAAATATTATCCGCGAGGAAATTTTAATACATTAATTTTGTAACGTTCATAACTTTTTTTCACACAACCGTAAATAAAAATAGACGGACATCGGTAACTCAACGTACAAATTTTCCGTTCGGACACTCGCAGGAGGAAGATGATCAAAAAGTGGCTGTGATGCGTAAGGCGTTCCAAATGTTCGACACGACAAAGTGCGGTTTCATCGACACCCTGAAAATCTCGACGATATTGAACACGATGGGTCAACTGTTCGACGACGTCGAGTTGAACACGCTGATCGAGGAAAACGATCCCGAGGGCCTCGGCAAAGTGAATTTCGATCAGTTCTGCAAGATCGCCGGCCGGTTTCTCGAAGAGGAGGACGCTGAGGCGATGCAGGAGGAACTGAGGGAAGCATTTCGATTATACGATCGCGAAGGCAACGGATACATCACCACGGCTACGTTAAAAGAGATTTTAGCGGCGCTCGACGACAAACTTACCAGCTCCGATCTCGACGGGATCATCGCGGAAATCGACACGGACGGCTCGGGTACGGTGGACTTCGACGGTACGTAACACATCGTACAGTGATACAGAGAATCTTAATTATCGTTCGCTTCAATGGATGTTTTGTCCGTTTTGCAGAATTTATGGAGATGATGACTGGAGAATAATCATTCTAGCGGCGAGACGAGATTCATATTACCTGATCACTAACAATAAGAAAAGAGGCACCAAAATTTCTTAATAAATAATTGCGATATAAAAGAACTGTCTATTGTACTATCTATAAGTTATTGTGACTTACGCATGCACATTGATAGGAAACGTAAGAGAAGGGAAGAGGAAGAGAGAGAGAGAGAGAGAGAGAAAAGATCTACGTTTTGGGGCAATTTATTAATTGCGTTTGCTACAATAAATCAATAAGTCTTTTTCTGACATTGAATGAAAAAGGGGGGCTCTCGGTCGAGCATTGTTACATCCGACGATGTCCGCGGCTTATACCTGATTTATAGGAACAATTTACTGAGAGTACACTTCGTTGGTGGGCTGGCCTTGATGGTAAACATAGACGGTATGGACGTGAACGTTGGGGACCGAAAGGGCGCCGGTGGTCAAGGGTCTGTCCAACGGGAAGCCGAGAGGCTTGCCGTCGAGAGAGACAGCGCCACCGATGACCTGGGAGATGTGCTTGTTCTGGTGATGTCTGCCGACATGCGTGTCCTGCGCCTTTTGTCCCTGGCTCAGGATGCCTTGCCAGCCGCCGGCGTGGTGCTGTCCGCTACCGGTGTACATCACGTTCAGCCCTTGCTGCTGCTGGCTCTGTCCCTGATAAGTGGTGCGGTACTTGTTCTGTATTCCATGAAGACCGCTGAGGACACTCTGTATTCCTTGCAGTCCGTGGATTCCTTGCGCGCCTTGAACGCCCTGCACGCCACGCACGCCCTGCCGCACGCCCGGCTGCACGCCTTGCACGCCGGTTGGCACTCCCTGGATTTCTACAATGTTACCTTGCTGTCCTTGGAGGATGCCCTGAGGCTGACCCCACTGTTGCTGTCCTTGAGTGTGTTGTCCCTGTTGTCCCTGGAGCAGACTCTGCTGTCCCTGGAGCAGATTCTGTTGTCCCTGGAGCAGACCCTGCTGTCCCTGGAGCAGACCCTGCTGTCCCTGGAGCAGACCCTGTTGTCCCTGGAGCAGACCCTGTTGTCCCAGCTGCACCTGCTGTCCCTGCTGTCCTTGCAGGCCCTGTTGCCACACGTTCTGTCCCTGAACTTGTCCCTGCATCTGTCCCTGTCCCTGGCCGACTTGGAATTGGCCGTGAGAGTACGGGTACTGTCCGTGTTGTTGAGTGTAGAGGTTAGCATAGTGGTTCCTCACAACTGAAAAGAGGAAAACGGCTTATTTTTCTCGATTCGCGAACAACGAACGAGAGTTCGCTCCTTCGAGATCGATAATGCACCTTGGCTGTTCTGCTGGCTGATCGGCAGGTTCTCGGGCACGACCTCCACGGTCTGCGAAATGCCGACGTTGCTTTGTTGCTGGATCCGCTGAGGGTATACCTCGGTGTCAACTACTTGGTAGACATTCTGCTGGTATGTCTGGATTTGTTCCGGAATCACCGGTCCGTAAGGAACGGACAGTTGTCCTGGCTGAGAGATCACGACCAATAATTGGAGCGGGACTCCTTGCGGCTGACCCTTGGGCAGAGTAAGCCTAGCCGGGAAACCGAAGACTTGGTGCGGCTGAAAAAAAATATTCATCATTAGCATCGCGTCGCTTCTTGAAGTAATCGTTGCGAATCGTCTATTTGAGGGAAGGAGAGAGAAAAAGGGAGGAAAATAATTACTTCAGTAATGAAGAACGGCTCCTGGGCGTGAGTAGCGCTGTTGATGTTCTGCTGGATTTGCTGAATAGACGGGTAGTCGAAGCTCTGGCCCGATGCTTGCTGGGATTGTCTGTTGATAATGTTTTGTCCTTGCTCAACTGTAAAATAAAATAGAAATGTGAATCTGTCGATTACAGAGAGCGAATCATCAATGGTTTTACGAAGGAAAAAAACATACGGTCGGTTATAAATTGATCAAGTTCGACGAATTGGTGCCTGTGTTGAGAGATGCTGACGGGTTTGCCTTGGTAGTCATATTTCGGTCCCAAGTAGACGCGGACGACGGCACCGGGGATGTTCTGCTCGCTCTGGACGGTGATGACATATTCGTATGGCTGGTGGTCCAATCTCTTCACTTGTGCTTTAATATGCTGCTGCTGCTGCTGCTGCTGTTGTTGCTGTTGGACTTGTTGTTGCCACTGCTGAGAGTGGATTTGCTGCTGGAGCGGTTGGGTTTGTTGTTGGACCTGCTGCTGTTGATTGGTCGGCTGATGAACGGCGCTATCGAGATCGACGTAGTAGTCGTTGAAGAGAGTCACGAGTGGGCTGATCTGAACGTTCTGGATGGTGACGCCGGGCAGAACGATGTCGTTGTACTGGTACGCGGGCAGAGAGTTCTGGTAATGCTGGAACAGCTGGATAACTTTCTTGTAGAGCTGGTAGAAGGCCGGGTCTCGAACGGCGACTTGTCCCAATTCGAGAACGGAGGGAGTATAATCGTAGATGTTCTGCACTTGAGGGGCGTTGCCGAGGAGTTGGCGCGCGGCGGCTTGAAGACTGCCGTAGTACCTGTGATGGGGGAAAAAAAAAACAATATCGTGAATATCGCGACATTGACGATCGGTCGAGCGATCGATCAGACAAATCGTGTTGTTGAACGGCAAATTAACCTTGGGTTAACGCTTCTGCCGGCACCCTGGATGAGATCTCCAAGAATGTTCAGACCTTGCGGCTGGTAGAGCGAGAGGAAGGTGCCTTGCGGGGTGATGACATGGCCGGAGTCGATAGCTTCAATCAGTCTTTGCTCTAGTTTCTTAACACTCTGGATGAGATTGTTGTTGGTGAGGTGAAGATTGTCAGAGCGTCCAGGACTCTCGACTCCGTTGATGTGTCGGAGGTGCGGCTGATACGGCGCCTGCACGTTGACGAAGTCGGTCTCTTGGATCGGGCCGAGTCCGTTCGTGAGACGGTTCAGTTCGTAGTGGGCCAGCAGCTGTTGGTTAAGATAATAGTAGAGAGATCCCTGGCCAGTCTGGCTCTCCTGAGAGTGAACGCTTTGCTGTTGCTGGTGCTGCACCGGGGTCTGTTGCTGTTCCTGTGGAAATTACATGTAAAAATAATGCAAATGCCAAAAGTCACAGAAAATTCCTCAATTTGGAGACTAATGAATCTTTCGCAAACAACGTCTTGCTAATTGTATACTCGCGATATTTGAGTTACGCTTACCGGCAGCATGTATCCAGCGAGGTTCACGAAAGCGTAATAGTTAGCAAGGCCGACGTCTTGCGTGAAGTAGGAGAGCTGTTGCTCACCGAGCAAATTGGCGGTGTAGTTAACAGGAATAACAACGGAGTTCTGCTGGCCGACATGAACCTGAACGCCTTGCGCGGCGATGTTCTGGGCTTGCTGGATAATTCTAGCGTCGAAGTAGAGCTGGGGAGTGATTTCGTATAGAGGCGGCACGATGATACCCTGAGTTTCTGGGTGCTGCAGAACAACCGCGATGAAAGCCTTGACGAATTGTTCTTCGTTAACGTGGACGCGGGCCCATGCGGCGGTCGCCAGCAACGTCTGGTAGTTCTTGGTGCCTAACAGAATTCTGTGCAGAAGGGAGATTTCCTTACGAAGCTGGCTGATGGAGCTCGTGTAAGGAGTGCCTTTGGGCTGAACCAAGCCAGCTTGTACGGCGCCCACATAGTATTTAACGAGGAGCGGGTTTTCGTATTGATTAAGATTGCTTTCGATATCGTAGGTGCTGCCAAGGATCTGCAGCTGTTCGTTCGGGATTTCTTGGGTAATCTGTTGCAACAGCAGAATAATTTCCTGCTGCTTCTTCAAGAGTTCCTGATCAGCTAAAAAAAAAAAAAATTAAGAGACGGTTATTTGTCGTGTCAAATGTAACGTTTATTAGACGAACACTTGTAATATTTAATAGCATCGATTGGATTAAGAAGAATTGAGAGAGTGAGATTAATGAAAAAAAAAGTGGTATAATTTTTTAGTATTTTAGAAAGTATGCAGCCATTTGATCGGAAAATGATGAAAAAAAGAGAGAGACAGTCCGCGAAGACAATCCGAATAGAGTGATCACTTACCAGCACGTTGTCTCTGTTGTTGTTGCTGCTGCTGTTGGGGTAGAGCCGCCCCAAAAGCTGCCAGAGCCAGTAGAACGATCGCGCACCTCATTGTGATGCTGTCAATGCCGTCTGCCGCATGCTGTTCACCGATGCGGTGCAGTCTTTTATACCGTAATCGTATCAAACAAAAGCATTATCGGCTACGACCCGTTGACCCGCCGTGTACGATTTCGCTGTCTACGCGATATCCCCTGCAGATATCTCCTATGCTACTTCAGATGGATCCGTCAAAGCGAAGGTTAACCGGCGATAATGATTCTTCTGGGCAAGATTTGATTTGCGTCATCAATTACGGGACTTCGCCTTTCATTTTCACCGATTTCTTTTCTCTTTAATATTCCGCTGCTAGTAACTTCATTTTCACGCAAATGCAATTTTCCGCGCTATCCTGTCCTTCTTTCCTTCTCCTTTTCGATAAGATTCGATTCCTCTTGAATGTAATTAAACGATAGGATCTGCCTTCGTTTGTGCAAATATCCTTAGCATAAGTTATCCTAAAAAAATTAATTCGATTGGTAAGTAAATGCATTTAAAAAAAAAAAATTAAAATTAATTTGACGATTATTTTTTATGTGAGAATTTTTAAAACTCACTTATTCTTTGATTTTGCTTTAATTAAACGCGGTGTATCTTACACGAAAAATTCTGAATAAGAATATCATTTTTTTTATCCCCTAATAACAATAAAAACAGATAAGCAGCAATAAAAACATATGCGAAGCCGCGACTGCAAAGTTTCCACTTTCGTAGATTAGACATTTATAGCTTTACGCGAAACTGCTATCAATTTTATATAATCATTATCAATTTAATCTATTTTTAGCTGAGATGTAATGCCACTAAGTGTTAAATAAATAATTGCACTAATATAAGGCATACTAAAAAGATATAATACAAAATTACGCAAAAAGAGATTATAAAATTATTATACCTCACATTTGAACTGCTTTCAGAGCAGGTAGAATCAAGCCTCCAAACAATATTTATTAGTTCTATTATTTATTATTATAATTTAGTTCTATTTATTAATTCTATTATTCTAAATTACTTAGCAAATATTAATTAATTACTAATTTTTTAAAACAACTCCTGCAGTAAATAATAATTTGATATCTGTTTTTGCTATTTCACGCGATTAGCTTATTTGTGCTTAAAATTTTCCATGTCAAAACTTGATAATCTATTATCTTGTGTACGTGAGTTGATATAAAATGTTTACCAATGAATTACATTGCAAAACAATTTCTTTAAAAATATATATAAATTTTTCAAATAGAAATACTTTGCTCGATATATTTCAAAAAATCTAAAAGAAGGAAAAGTAGAAAACAAACATTATTATTTTACATTAAAGGAAACAAATATTATTATTTTAGATTAAATATACTAAATCCTTCTAGAAGATTAACGGAAGCATATACGGAAGATGATAAATTATTATTTAATAAACAAAGTGTTTCTAAGAAATCGTTAATTTTTATCCATTTATCCAAAAATAGAATGATATTCTGATTTTATAGACAAAAAAGTTTATCTTGAAAACCAGATTTAAAAAAAAAAGATAGGTGTAATATAATTTTTTATAAATACGCTTAAAGATTGTGATTAATGTCAAGCTATCGGGTTATCTGTATTTGTTCCCCCCTTGAGACGATAACTTTGATAAACCAGGTGATGATTACCATTTTTGGTCCAACAATCAACATTCTGTAATCTTTTTATGTTATTAATACTATTAATTTCAACATATTTAACAAATTAATTGTACACGGATAAGTAAGGCAATATTATAACTTCAATATCGTTGCACATAAAATAATGTGAAAAGCATATCAATATTTGAGGAAGTGTACACGATGTATAAAATCCTTATCGTGCGACATACAATTATCTGCAAAAAAGTCATTTTTTATGACATAAAAATTCTTACAAAACAAAAATTGCAACTCAAGATTCCTCGCAATTTCGGAGCATTACGAAATATTAAGTAAGAAATTATTAATTGCAATAAAATATTGCAACTTTTTTTTATGTAATATCCTTATTTTTGTGCTATATCTTTTTATAAATTTTGTAAAACTGCATTTCTAAACTTGGCTAGAAAACAGTCGATAACATTGTGCTCCTTTTGCTTGATAGTTTTATACTTATCACCTGATAAAAAAATTAACTCAAAGTCTCAAGCTACTTTCAATAGTCTTATCGAGACAATAAAATATAAAAATAAAATATATAAGAAGTACAAGAAATAAATATAACAATCTCTATAGATGTAGAGATAATATGTACTGATATCCTCGTGTTAAATTACTATTTGTAAATTAAATTTCTAATTAATCAATTTTTTAGGCTCGCGTAACCTGCCTGCCGCGTTGAGTTTGTCGAAGATTCTTTTACGTCACCTGAATTGAAAGAAATAACAGCGCCACGAGTGGTCTTCTAGTACAACCATTTTCATTGATTATTAAACTTGTCCGACTTGTCCATTGAGCGAGTGAAAACAAGCATTGATCCGTTCCCGAGTTACTGCTGCACAATTTTGCAGATTAATATACTTTTAAGCCGATGTCTTATCTGCACAGATCGAGGTATAATTGAGGGAAGAAAAGTCACGGATCCTGTAACATAACAAAAAGTACAACGATGGGCGAGTCTCTCACTTTAGCAAGAGGTATGTTTTAATCAGTCCCAATTAACACAAATATGCAAGTGTCATATGGAAATATTTGCTTATTTTATATAAGTCTTGTCGATAAACTACATAAATACTTTTGCAGATGTCAAGAGATCAATAGAATTATTAGATAAATTGCAAAAAGGTAAGCAAGATGTCATAATGTACTACCTTGTGACATTTTAACAATTGTATCCTTTGATATTCATTTGATCTAACAAAATTCTTTTTTTTTTAGGTGGTGAAGTTCCTACAACAAAATTGGCAGCATTACAAAAAGTATTACAAAGTGACTTTCTTAGTGCAGTGCGAGAAGTATACGAGCATGTCTATGAGACTGTTGATATTCAGGTAAAAAAAAATGGGCAATCAATAACTTGGCAAATGCTTCCTTATTGACGGTTGTAATTATAATTGTTATTGTATTTTTATAGGGACCACAGGACTTGCGTGCTTCCGCAACGGCCAAGGCCACTGTTGCAGCTTTTGCAGCCAGCGAAGGTCATGCGCATCCACGTGTAGTCGAATTGCCAAAAACAGAGGAAGGACTTGGTTTCAATGTGATGGGAGGCAAGGAACAGAATTCGCCAATTTATATATCTCGTATTATTCCTGGTGGTGTTGCTGACAGGCACGGTGGTTTAAAGCGTGGAGATCAACTCTTATCTGTCAATGGAGTGGTTAGTGAAAACATTTGTCTTTTCTTTAGGATACTGAAAATATTTTACAGTAAAAACATTACAAATCGGTCTAATTTGTTTCAGTGCGTCGAAGGTGAAAATCATGAAAAGGCAGTAGAATTATTAAAACAGGCTCAGAATTCTGTAAAATTGGTAGTTCGTTACACTCCACGTGTACTTGAGGAAATGGAATTACGTTTTGACAAACAGAGAGCTGCTCGCAGACGTCAACATATGCAATAAATATAAGTTGCAAAATGCATTGAATTATGTTCATTAAGGAAATGTGAATTATCGACTAATCTATCTATTAATTTCAATTGTGCTCATAGGTGTAGTTTAGTTGACATATAACATTCTGACAATTGTATTTATATCCCCATACATTCATCAATAAATTAATCTGTTATCTATATTCTTCGATTTCTTAGATGATATTTTTGTAATTTGTTTCAGTATATTGAATATGCAACAGCCTTTTCTAAGCTTCATGGAACTTATTACTAATGCATATTTGCGCGGGTAGAACGATTACGACATTTTTCTCAACAAGCTTTGAAACGCGCCAATGTCGCAAGATCGTTTTCGTGGTTTGGAAAGCATTCGCTTGGATCGTACAGGAAGAGCTGAGTCAATAAGGAAAAAAATAGTAAAGGAACTAGTGTGAATATATACCATTTCTGAAATGTGTGCATTCACGAGTGAGGGAAAGCTATCAAATGTGATTATTCTATCGTCGTCATCGGTCGCCATCGAATCGCCATAAACGTCGATAAGGTATTTCATTCTTTCTATGCGGAGATATTTCAACAGCTAGGCTGCTTTGTATTCGCGGTTTAATGAAGGTCCGCCTTTTATGGGGCGCGTTTGATACGCACAATCATGCAGTAGATATTTAAATACGATGCGCTAGATTCGAAACTCGCGTAACCTTAGGCAACCGCAAGATGCATCTTTATGGAAAAACTGACCAATCGCATATCAATTATATAATAATCGACCAATTGCGCATCAATTACGATGACGATTTTCTCGTGCATTATGGAATAATGCAAGTTAATTTGGATGAAAGGCTAAAGATGTCGCTGCGATACCTCCGCTGAGATCGTATTAAGCGTGTCCCATCTAGACTTTTGAAGTTTGGGGTGGGTTGCCGGCTGCCATCTTGCACCTCGCTCGTTTGAGAAGCCGGCCGCCCTCAAAAATCCTGAGTTTTACGCGTTCGCGCGGCCTCAGCTACTCTGCGAGTAACTTCCGCGCTCACGCAACGAATTCAGGAACTCACCGTATTTAATTCCACCAAGATTCGGGCTCGGAATGCTTTAGGTGAGTCCGATACGAGCCCACATCAATTCCCCGATCGCGATGGCGTGTGATTTACTGGGTACATGTGTGTACGTGCCTTGTGCCTTTTGCATGTGCGTGCTTTTGCTCCGTTGGCCGGCGGTACGTTAATCTCGTTACGGTTTTCGATTCACGGGTTAAAAAAAGGAAATTCATCTTTGTGCGTACGATTTTCTCGTGTCTCCGAATGATTTGAAGTACCTTGGACGTATCCTAGGTTCTAGCATTAGTACAATCGATAAATGAAAATATCGGAATAACGGCTCTTTCTTTACTATAGTTAATAAGGACTTAGGTTTATATTACTTTCTGCGTATTTCTATCACGCCCATATTTATTTTCATAAAGTCCAAAGGAATCTCTGATTCCATCTACGGCTCACATACATAAGTCTTTCATCATAGCGACTCTTAATATCTACAATATAACACGACTATGTGTGAGGATTCCAATTTTTTAAGATCCTCCAAATATATATATGTCTATATTTATCAATTTTATAGATGAAAATATACTCTTATGTTTAGAAACATTTTCTGTACCATATTTCATTGATGTAGGTATTAAGCGCTAAGATGATATTTCAAATCACTCATATAGTTACATGTATAAAATTGATTCACAACATTAACAGATTTATATGAATTGTTTAGGTTTATTACTGTTCTCACATGTACGTAGCTGGGTGAACAGAGGAGACAAAGTCCTTAATAGCTGTAAGTTTGGAACAGATAGTCGAGACAGTGTATCTATCAACAAGACGCTTACCAATAGTAATACTTTTGAGAGAATGGCTTTACCGAGTAGAGCACGAGTTTACGCAGATGTAAATTCACATAAACCAAGAGAGTATTGGGACTATGAATCTTATGTTGTTGATTGGGGGTGAGCCTTATTATTACAGAAAAATATTAATGGTGTTGTAACATGTTATTTTATTTACTTTACTTATACATACCTCTTGATACAGACAACAAGATGATTACCAGCTAGTGAGAAAATTAGGCAGGGGTAAATATAGCGAAGTATTTGAGGCCATAAATGTTACAAACAATGAGAAATGTGTCGTAAAAATATTGAAGGTACAACAATTACACTTGATAAATCTTCACCACCAAACAGTGAAGTGGATGTTACAGTACTAATATTATTTTTTTTATTTGTTATAGCCTGTAAAGAAGAAGAAAATAAAAAGGGAAATAAAAATTTTAGAAAACCTTAAAGGTGGGACCAACATAATTACACTCCAAGCAGTTGTTAAAGATCCAGTTTCGAGGACACCAGCACTGATTTTCGAACATGTTAACAACACAGATTTCAAGCAGTTATACCAGACGCTAACTGATTACGACATAAGATACTACCTCTACGAATTATTAAAAGTGCGTGTATTAAGTGCAATGAAACCAAATATCAGTCTATAGTGAACTTTGGAAATCATTTTTTTGATAGATATAGGTGTATGTTATAGTGTAGGTTCCAAAAAGGGTTCAAAAATACTGAATTGCAATTTTGCTGTTCTTGTTAATATCAAAAATATGAGTTTATTTACTTTGCCTTTATGCAGTTCTGCATTCTTGCAAAGTATTGCATCTTGGATGAAAATGAAAACTGTTACACGTGTTTTATCTTGTTTGAAAAAAATGAAGTCATTTGTAATAGAATTTTTTTTTTGTAATAGAAGTATTTTTTAATATCGCTATCTATTGCTTGTTTTCAAAAAATATTTTAGATATTAATGACTTAAAAATTACAATTACTTTGTATATATTTTGTATTTATTTGTATGACTAATGATATTTTTTTTGTTTTTTTTATTTAGAAAAAAATCTTAAGAATATGACTTCATTTTATTAAAACAAAGATGAATATGTGAGAAAGAAGCTTTTTTTTCATCCTTCCAGATGCATCAACAAATTTTAAATTTTTAGCATTCTTTCGAATTTTGGACTTGTGAATATTTGTAAGTAGCATATAAGAGTAGCACATCTGATGCACCGTCTAATCGCGGACGCAGAGATGAGAACGTTTATTATATTTTACGTTTTTATTTTTTAAAGTTAACGTAATTTTTGTTTCGTCTCTTGTACAGGCGCTAGACTATTGTCACAGTATGGGAATTATGCACAGAGATGTGAAACCGCACAACGTTATGATAGACCATGAAAACCGAAAGTTACGATTAATTGACTGGGGATTAGCAGAGTTTTATCACCCTGGTCAGGAATACAATGTACGAGTAGCTTCCCGCTATTTTAAAGGGCCGGAATTACTTGTAGATTATCAAGTGAGTATCGCAACATTAAAATATAACGGAATAGCGGAAGGGAAAGAGTGAAAAGGATGAGCGAAATAATTTATTCTAAATACTTTCAAAATATATTTATCGCCTGCGTAAAAGTTGACGAGAAATATTTTTTGGTTTTTCAGATGTACGACTATTCATTAGACATGTGGTCGTTGGGTTGTATGCTCGCGAGTATGATATTCAGGAAAGAACCGTTTTTTCATGGACACGATAATTATGATCAATTAGTTCGAATTGCAAAAGTTCTCGGGACTGAAGAACTGTTTGAATATCTTGACAAGTATCACATTGAACTCGACCCTCGTTTCAACGACATTCTAGGCCGACATTCGCGCAAGCGTTGGGAGCGCTTTGTACATTCGGAGAATCAGCATCTAGTGTCACCAGAAAGCTTGGACTTCCTCGACAAGCTCTTACGCTATGACCATTATGAGAGACTAACTGCGCGCGAAGCAATGGAGCATCCTTACTTTTGTAAGTTAATATGTCGATGACGATGCTACTTTTTTTCACGTCACTTTTTACAATTCAAAAGAAATTGATTTCGTAGCTTCCCTTACGCTTCTCGTTTGAGAATATGTTTAGAGATGTATAAAGAAAATAATTTTATCGATAATGTGCATTTATGGTGTATTTATATCATATTGTGCGCCATGCAGTCGTGTATCTTATAAATGCCACATACCACGTATTCCTATTTTAGATCCCATAGTAAAAGAACAAGGTCGGTTGACCATGGTGTCATCATCACCTACTCCCATGACAGGCTCAGTGCCTGTAGGTGAGTAGCGGCCCAGGTAATGTCTCACCACCTTAATCTACCTCTAACTCTATACTAATTGGCATAATTATATAACATATATATTGGCCATTACAAATTTAATACTGTAAAATACACTCTTATTTCATGAAGATTTGTGTTTTTTTTTTTTTTTTTTTGTTAGCATGTATCTTTTTTTTTTTTTCTCTCTCTCTTCTTTCGAAAATTGTTAACAATCGCTCTGAAATTGTTCACATTTTGTACTCGTTATTACAATAGACGTAATATAATCCTATGAAACGAATGCATTCGCCTTGTACACATTTTTACGCGTGAAAAACATGTGCGGAGTTGTAATCGCGAATATTGTTTGCACTTTACATTGAAATAACTTGTATTTAATTAAGGTAAAAGGGATGTAAGTTGTAAATACATTATTACAAACAAAAAAATATTGATTATATGTATACATATCGTTTATTCGTTATACTAGCTTATGTTGTACGGCATAAACTATTATAACAATCAACCATAATGATTATACGTGTGACTTTCTAGCAATACGACGTTTTATACATATTACGCAACGGCGCATTCTACCCGTAAGCCTTTAAACATTTGTTCATCGATCTATCGTATTTTATATGATGAGTTAGAAAATAGTCTTAGTGATTATTTGAAAATGTCAGGCCCGCCAATGGAAAAAATACACTGCTATATTACATAAACGAACGTTCCTTAAATTGAACCGTTTATCGCTACTCTTCGTCTGCATTGAAATTGAAACGGCGAACGGCCGAAATGTTGATACGTAGATTTTGTGCGACATTTTGATATAACAAAGATCTCGTGTCAAAGTGATTTTTTAACTAGGAGATTATTACAGATCATCGTGGCGTAACAATGAGCAGCGTACCGGTTCATGGGACAAACGGATTGGAAAGCATGGAAGAAGTGGGAAGTGGGTGTTTGACCGCTTCAGAAGAACTGCCTCAACTCTTATAAGTTCAGCAATTCTGAACAGTAACCCGACTCCCCGTCTACTACAGAATATAACAATGCAACAGCAGATATTTCGTATCGCCAAGTACATTCTTCTCAGCACGAAAATCATTCTGGTTTGTAACAACGGCTTCATTGATCCCACCATTAAGACTGAAATATCTCACTTTGCTGTGTCTCCTTCAAAAACGTACAGTCGATCGAAATTTGTAATGTACTTAGAGAAACACGGGAGATTAGAATTTTGGCGTAAAATTTGCCGCGTAAAGACACATGCTCCGTCCATATTGGCCGGTGTGCATGCGATATCAAAGGCAGCGCGTTGCTTACTTCCGTTTTACAATTCGCGATGCGCTATACTTTATCTACTATTTTTTCTGATGTTGCTCTTGTCGTGTTTTTGGCAAATCTATAAGTGCATAAAGATGCAGCTAGATTCACTCTCATTTGAAAGATGATTACTCGCGATTACACGATACGCGTAGCGGTGGAGATTTTAAACAAGGAACCCACCCATTCGCATTCACATTTCACGTAACACTCGCACACAGGACAGACACACACAAGTACATGGTCACACACTTGTACACATACCTTAGGTCATTCGGTTTAGTACTTTTAACGATAATAAAAAAAAAAAAATGTTCGTTTATATCTGATACCACAATAGTTGAATAAAATGTTTGTTATAGCCAAGTACTCTTTGTGCTCTGTGAATACCTGCTCTGTGTGCATCCAGCGTCACGACCGCCGTTGTTATTCAACGAGAATTGAAAAAAAAAAGAAATCGTCCATTTGAGAGACGCGACGTTAGATAAATTCGCTTTTACATATACGTGTTCTTACTGTACGATCGTTCCTCGATTCTTATCGAAAAGAAAAAAAGAAGGATCCGATACAAATAATAGCAGGTTGCGATAAATTCCGTTAGTTATCGCAAGCAAATTCACAGGCACCTCAAACACTTGGCACAGAGCCTACAAACATTCTCGACATACATACTAGTTTAAAACGTAAATAATATATACGTGTATATTTGTAAACTCGGATTCTGTGCGCTGGTCAGTCTTACGCTGATAACTCACACACCCACAACACCCATAAAGTTTTTGCTTTCTCTGGTCATGCAAAATTGCCAGTAACTTTGTTATGCATTGAATACATTGAATTAACTCTATATAAATATAAGGTCGACTCACACATCATGTACATTTCGAGAGGATTTGTACATCAAAGCGAGACATACTTGTAAAGAATGTATAGGAATACAATACGCTCCACTCTTGTACACTGTATCTTTTTATATAATTTTCCAAGAATTTGTCAGTTCCTATATATATGAATACGAATGGTACATTAAGAGAGATTAAACACCGTTTATATTCTCGCGTGTTGAGAAACAATGCATATTGGATATCGAGCATGAAAAATTAGCGAGCGCATGAGCGCTCTACATTATTAGTTAAATAGTAACATTCACTTCTCAGTCCGATCGCTGCGCCGTTTTTGCCTTATAATGTGACGTGAGGTAATATTTTATATGTATAGATGTTCTATTTGAAACAGCATAAAATTAAGATAACTTGAAAATAGTAAGTTTTTTTTTTAAGCAAAATCAATTTATATGTGTAAAAAGAAACAGTTGTATATATAGAAAAAAAAATGCAGTTGCACATGTAGAGATGTCGCATTTATGAACGAAGAATAAAATTAGCATTCGATTATTCTTCTAATTCTGCATATAAAAAGTAAAATCGTCGAAAAGTGAACACTTTATGAGATATTGCGTATTTTATGTATATTTCAAAATATATCCGAATAAGTATATCTCGTATTCACCTGTCACTTTATTTCAATATAATTTTATACGCAGAACGACGAGGATTGATTTATTTGAAAAGGCTATATTTTTCTATTTAAACAGTCGAAGTAAAATTTGTACGATTCAATAAACACACTTGTTTGAACCATATTTTTGCAAAACCTATCGTTTTCAAGTTTTCTAGGTATATTCTTTCAAATGGGATACTCTGTATATATACATACATATATATATATATAAAAAATTATATATTTATAATTTTTCATAAATACACGCTACACATACACACACACATACACAAACACGCACGCACACTCGTACATAGGCAGATAATTAAAATTATAATACGCATAGACTAATGAGCTATACATATAACATGTAAAAAAAAAGATAAGACTATGCTACACTTACGAATAGATATATAAAATATGTTTTATTTATTCCTCTTTATGGTCACGCTGTGTACCGCCAAGTATTATTGTTTGTACGGGCAGATTGTTTAGCTAGAGAAATCGCTTTCATGCGGCAAGAACGGCGCACACGTACTTGTTTATCCAAGTTTTATATCCCTTGTTCATACGTTAAGTTTACGATAATCTAGTTTAGTTTTATAGAAAAAGAATATGGAATAATCAACTATTTAAATAAGCAACTTAGCTTGGAAATGAAGATAATGAATTGTCTTAAGATAATAGAGATAATACATTGCGCTAACTTTTGGCTATGATATCTTTTGCATTATAATATGCAAATTATTTCGAGAGACGAAGGCACGATAGATGAGAATTGTTTGAAACATTTTGCCTTTTTTAACTTCGTTTAAAGGCTGATGTTTCGAACGAATTTGCAATAATTTTTTTTATCGCTTTCTCTCTCTCTTTCTCTTTCTTTTTCTCTTTCTCTTTTTCTCTTTTGTTTTTTTTTTCATGAAAATGGTCATACGATAAAACTGTGCACTCAATAATTTCCCATGCAGTTTAAGTTTGCAAGCAAATTTCTTTACATTCTGTGTTACTGCAATGCCAAGAGATGGTACATAACTTTTTTTCTATAAGTATATACTATCTCAAGTGTGCTACAACACAGAGTATTTTGACATAGTTAAGGTATGACAATAAAATTTGCCAAACTGCGCAGAATTGCATTGATTTGAACCTTCACTACGAGACGCGAGAAGTAGCGTATTTAATATTTTTGCGATATCTGTCGAATTAGTAATATAACTCGTAAATTAATATCGGAATATACAGACTGTTTTTCGAGTGCAAACACGAAACACTTGTCTATATGCACGATGTAAACGGTAATGTTATATAATACTGCCTGCTGCAAAAAGGAAGAAATAGAAACTAAAGTAACGTTGCGATATAAAATTAAAGACTAACAACAAATATAATTTTCTTCCCAGCGAATTGATTCCCTTTTCTTTTAACAAGCTCGCGATTATTTTTTTTTTATTACTACTCTTCATTTGAAGAATAGCTCAACGTTTTTCTTTTTACTGCCAAAGAAGAACTAATATGTACGGTAATTATATATGAAGGATAATAATATTAAGGATTTTTTAAACTCTCCAATTTAATGTTTTTGTGGAAATAAAATTTGATTTACTTTTTTAATTTGTAATTTGCTCAAGCTACACTGACGTTTGATGCTTCAAAATTATATAATAATGTGCTATCAATTCTATAGAATTTTACTTTAGAATACTATAAGAATCATTTAATATCTATAATTTATATCAGAGCTCGGCATAATCTGCACATTTCGGCTGATTTTTGTGAGTCAACACCTAGCTGTGATTGTTGTCCTCCAGATTATTTAATAAGATTTAGACTCTGCATATGTATAAATAATGCATAAACTTTTAAGAACAGACTATTTATTTCTTTGATAATTAAGAAAATTACCTTTCAAGCTATTGTAATAAGCACCAATAAAAGATGTGACTACAAGGTGTATGAAAATCATCGTCCGACAATATTTTTCATACATCATGTGGTCACATCTTACGCTATTTTGTCAATTAGAAATTTCAGCGAAAATCCAATTAATGCAGTAATTATGAAAATGTACACCGATATCGATAGATGGCATCGATTTTATTGGAAACATAAAATTACCCTTCAACACAATTGAAGGTTTTTCAACATTTGAGGAGAAGCTTTGAGAAGAAAAAGTAAAAAAAAAAAACAGAATATTTACTTCTCTTTTAATTTACTATATTTAATTGAACATCTGTTTATCATTGCTTTTTATATAAGTACAAACAGGTATAAAACATTTGTTAAAATATATGTTTTGTGGCCAGTTTTCACAATTTTTCAAGTGTATGGTTTCATGGCATTCATTGATTGAATATCGAGTAAGGCTAATCTTTATCACCAGATGACGTATGCATCGCATGTTAAGTTTGTCTACGCAGTTTCCGGTCTATATACTTTAGTCTTCGTTTGACATCTACCTGCTAAGTGTTAATTTAAGAAATTTTATTCTATCGAATATCTAATATTGACTTTATAATCTTCTTCATTAAAGTTTTACAAATGATATTTTCCAATTTTTAATTATATATAATTATACTATACAGAATTTATGGATAGAAAATATTAGGATAAAATATACTTTTGACATTTAAGAGAAAATACTATAATATGAAAGGAGATAACAATAGTTTATGAAGAATGATTCACATCTTATCGGATATCGACGTATATAAATTTATGACAAAGCTATATTTTTTTTTTATGTAATGGTTGACATAATATTATAAAACAGCTGTTGTCAAGCAGAAACTACTGGTATGTATCTTGCAATATTAAGTATATTACATTTCACAAAATCACTTCGTGTAACAAGAATCGAGTTTATAATTTAAAAACGCAGATCGTGACAGAATTTTTGATTACAGATAAATTTATTGAATTATTGAATCTAAAATGCCAAGCTCGTATTTATATGCCATTAACAATGAAGGGCGTGTATTTGGACTGTCGACGTCTGGGAACATGTGGCGTGAATTTATGTATCTGGGGCTTGAATTCAAGCAGTTGTCAGCTGTACCGCACTTTATGTGGGCTATTGGTGGTGATCGGCAAGTGTATGTTCATGTGCACGGCTTAGATGTACCAATCAGGATTAAAGAAGAAACTTATGAAAATGAGGTATGTGTATTTCATTATCTGCAATTGTTTTGAAGACAAATTACTCCAAATAAATACAACTGCAAATCTAAATAAATATAATAATACAATGAATAATGTTGATGAGATAAATTTTAGCGATGGCTGCCTTTGGAAGGATTCTCTGGAAGATTGCTTCCAACTGATAGATACAATTTTTCTAATCAAGATGGTACAGTTGATCGTAGCAGGGATAAAGTGAAATTACCCTCGATGGCATGGCAATGGGAAGGTGATTGGCAAATAGAAACAACATTAGATGGCCAACCGTTGGATCATGATGTAAATATGTTTCCTCTAATATCAATCTGCTTCGACACATCACATTTCTACTTTTCTATACGATACTTTTATTCTAAAATTTTATATGCTTAACACGTACAGAATAAACATGCATGTAACTATGCTTTATTTTTTAAATTAAGAGTAGTTTTCAATGGGCTTGTAAAAACCAATCTAAATGCAATTCAAAGATAATTTGTAGTTTTGAAAATATTTTTCTTTACAATCGCATATCATTCCGCTTAAGATTAATACAAACTTGTGCACTTTTAATGCGACATGGGGATACAGGTCTCAGATGTTTTAAAACGTCAATTTATATAAAATTAGATATTTAATATATTTTTTGCATCTTCGCCAAGTGTTGCGTTTTTCATAAAGTTTTGTTTACATATAGATTTGTTATCAGTTGCCCACGACGAAAGAGAATCTTATGATCACAGAGAATCTGATGTTTTAATAGGGATGGACATATGCAATTGATTTTCCAGCCACATACACTACGAAAAAACAGTGGAAATCGTGTGTGAGGAGGCGCAAGTGGGTTCGTTATCGGAGATACAGCGCTATGAATTCGTGGTGTGCTATCGCACCTCTGCACAAAGATCCAACTAAGGTGATAAAATAACTACAAATCTTTCCACGTGTGCTTCAAATTGTGTTATTCATCTAAATTGTATATTGCGTATGTGTGCAGGAGCCTTTTATCGATGTAGCCGTGGGTGGAAATCAGATGCCTGGAAGTAGCTCTGGAAATTTAGTGGTCTGGGCAGTAACTGCTCACGGCAGGGTATAATTTTCAAGCATACATATAATTCAATTGTTTCAAGCGTTTTGAAGATATCAGAGTAATCACTTGTAACTATTTAGGTGATGTTTCGCGTCGGAACGAGTACAACTTGTCCGGAAGGACAAAGATGGAGTTCTATCAAGCTGGCGAACGGTCATGAAGTGTCTCAAATTAGCGTTGGAGTGACTGGTCTTGTTTGGGCTGCACTTCAGTCGGGCAAAGCATTGGTTCGCACGGGTGTAACGAGAGACAATCCAATGGGTAAGTAAATACGTCTGCACATATTGCCATTACGTCAGCAGCACACTGATAATTATACATCGTATTAAAGGTGACGATTGGTCGGAAGTGGACCCACCGCAAAAAGACTTGAGATTGGTGCAAGTCAGCGTAGGCACTGACGCCGTGTGGGCTGTAACGCACGATGCTGGAGTGTGGTTTCGAAAGGGCGTGCAAGGCGAAATCAGCGGCGTTTGTGAGCAACTGGCCACCGGAACCGGTTGGGTTGAGATGCTGAGCAAAATGGCACTAGTGTCTGTTGCTCCAAACGATCAAGTAATGACGCGAATTCTTAATTTATATGGCAGAGAAAATTTTATACTGAATATTTTTATATTGCTACTTATTATATCTTTAAAGGTTTGGGCTATTGGCTACGATGATCGGTGTCTGTACTATCGCACGGGCATCACGCGTTCCGAATTGACGGGAAAACGATGGAAATTGATAAACGCACCGCTTCAACTGAGTAGAGCGAGCAGCAACGCTAGTTTATCGTCCAGCAACAGGCACAGCACTTGTGGCACGCCGCAACAGCAACGGCATCAGAGCTGGAGTTCTTTGGTAAAAGCATCGATATTTAACACACAATAAAATAGTAACTTAACGACGTACTAATTAATTTCAAACTATCTTTACAGAGTCGCCCTCATAGCACTAGCGAAGGAACAGCGTTAATTAGAGAATGGGAGGAGCAATCACGTTCGGCGCCAACGCCCACTTCTTTAAAATTGTGGCAACGTACCGGTGACGGTATATCTGCAAAAAATATGCAACAAACATCTTTTCAAGATATATATTTAAATGAAGAAAGAAAGAGGTAAAAGTTCAATAATTTATAATGGCATATAATAACAACGCAATGAGATTTTAATGTAATTATCATCTTTCTGCGTCACAGATCTGCAAATTCCGTAGACATAAATGATTTGAATGAAGCGAGTGTCGCTAGTATAACTATATCTAACGAATCTTTAACGAAAAGTGGAGAATCCATCGTCGTCTTGGGAAAAGGAATGGGCAGTACTGTTAAGGTTGAAATGTTTTTAAAATTAATTAAAAACGTATACGTGTAATTAAAAAAAAATGTCTTTTAGAATCTCAATGATTTAATATTATGATAAATCTGTTTTAATAGATTAATCCTGCTGCTTGGAGTCCGGTTCACTCTGTCGGATCTATGGTAGGCGTCGAAGCACATCCGGAAAGCGACGGAAGTGTATTTGATCCGGATTTAACTGGAGATTCCGGAGTGTACGGCGAAGACGAAAGCGCCGAGATAATATATTGGGCCGAGTGTGATGTGTTATGGTACAAAGTGGAGGCTGGAGCGTGCTTTGTTGATCCAACAAATCCGCCAAAATGGTACGACTCACAATTTTAACCGATGAAGCTCTCGAAATTTAATAATTGAATTAAAAAAATTGTGACTTACGAATCCATAATTATTTCGATTGAATAGGATTTTAGATGGCAATGGTATAGTACAAGGAGAGACCGGAGAATCGTGGAGAGTGTACATTTTAGACGAATTAAAATCAAGATTAAAGAAGATGCCATTTGATTCTTCAACAGAATACGAAAAAGCAGTTGAAAAGTAAGTGAAAGATACCGATCTTGACGGAATATACGATCATGAAGTGATTCTTACTTCGCATATTCTTATAGATCATCTTGGGTGAAGACTGGCGACGCTAAATGTAAAATTAAGAACGGTAATTTATATGAGGATTGCAAAATTGAACTGGAATGGATAAGCAGCGATACTGGATCGTTAGATTCTGGAACTTTAATTATTTTGAATTCCGACGGCGTAACAAGCATAGTACGTTGATTGTGAAAGCTGGAATTTTTACATTCATGATTCGCAATGCTCGACGGTCGACATAATTTTCACTTAAATGATGATATTGCAGATACAATTTCCAATCTCGGAAATCACGTGTGTCGTTTGCTGCAGTGAGCCAGGCAATCCAAGGATAGCGATTCACACCCCTAAATTACGTCGTACAAAAGTAATTAGATTACAGTTTGCGAGCGATACGGAAATGGAAGATTGGTTAGCGCATTTAACTTCAGGTAAGGATGTGATTGCCAAATACAAATTACGTAACAATGAATGCTATATATAAAACTGTCTTTCAGTATCTTGCCAGATGAATAATGTATATGGTAGGCCTGGTCCAAATTCCATTTGGACTACAACCGCATTAGGCGACGTATATGTATTCGATCCTGTAATCGCCGAGGTGAAAAATGTGTTTATTACGAATTATAATCAATTACGAAGAAGTTATTCTTCGTTATTCTAATTACATCATTATTTTCAGGAATGTCAATTGTCCGAGAACGGCTACGTTCAAGAAATGGATGTTGCTGGCAAAGCTGTGCCATTCGAAAGCATTTTACAAAACGGCTTCGGCTGTGGTAGCACTCTAAAAATTAGCGTATGCATCCATGACGATGCTGACAGGTAAATTAGATGAGTTTTAACAACTCTCTTCGGTCAATTTTGTAAAGAGTTTTGATCCGCAAGATTTTAATTATACTAGTTTGTTAATTACAGCCTGTTTTTGCAGGTTGGCTTTCAATCTTGTCTGTTACACCACGACATTCGTGAAGCAGAAGACTGTGACCGAGAGTCACGACGTAGCTTTGCACTTTAATCCAAGACTAAAGGAGAATATTATCGTGCGGAACACATATCATAACGGCCAGTGGGGAGATGAGGAAAGAAATGGCGGTAGCCCGTTGAAGGCAGGCTGTGACTTCACGTTATATATCGTTTGCGAGGAACGCGGTTATAAAATTTATATTAACGATAACGAATATACTTTTTATAGTCATCGAATACCTCCGCAAAGTATTACACATTTGCGTATCAAGGGATTGTTGACTTTATGCAGCATTGCGTATAAATCTACGTCTGTAAGTCGAATTTTATTATGACGGTTTCCCATTATGCATGCGCTATCGCCAGTTAATTAACATTTTACTGCTGCACAGGTAATTATTGAGCCTAGCACGATGTTTTGGAGACAAATCGGCGGACATCTGAAGAAACTTGAGACATGTTCCGTGGGAGTTACTTGGGGCATTGGCTACGATAGCACCGCTTGGGTATACACAGGTGGTTGGGGAAGCGCCTTTCTCAAAGGTATACCATCAGTTTTTCCAATGAAAGATTTTAGTTTTGCAAAAAGAAGGAACAGTTAATTTAACATCGATCAGAATATTATTTATATCGAGGCTAATCCATCTCTTGGCTATCAAGTTGCTAATGGAAAAAATTACACAGGCCTGGAAACTAGTAATACCGGAATAAATACAATGGTGGACACTCACAATTATTACGTTTACGAGAATCAACGTTGGAATCCGGTGACTGGATATACCGCGCATGGTCTTCCAACAGATCGTTATATGTGGAGCGATGCAACTGGGCGGCGGAAACGCACACGAGAGCATACAAAGTTGTTGTCGATGCATTGGCACTGGGTAAGTCGTAATCAACATGTTTTTGTATGCGTGAAACTGAATTGACTTGTATTTAATTGAATTTTCTGAAAAGATGATTTGTCAGATAACGTTTATTGCTATAATTTTTTTTGATACTTGGACTGCGGACTGAGGAATACTGATATTTTAAAGGTATCGGACTGGATCGTTGACTTCCACACACCTGGCGGCGTCGACAGAGATGGATGGCAGTACGCTATGGACTTCCCGTTGCAATTTCACGGCAAGAAACAGTTCACCGATTACGTACGAAGAAGACGGTGGTTTAGAAGGTGTCAACTAACAACTAGCGGACCTTGGCAAGAGCTGGGAAATACCAAACTCATTGATGTCTCTTTATACGTACGTTTTTTTTCTCAATTTCTTTAGAATCTTTCGAAAAGAATGTATTTTAGCTATTTGTTAAACAATTAGGTGAGCGGAAAACCTGGCACAGATGCTCCCATTCATGTCTGGGCAGTCGCTGCAAATGGTGAAGCGTTATTCAGACGAGGCGTTTCGGAATCTTGTCCAATGGTATTATTTGAATTCTTATTTCTAAAATTCTTGTGCGATAGAATATAAATTCGCGCACACAATATCGGATTTTTGTTAATTAAAATCAACGCACAGTAATTGTCAGCTATTTTCTGTTTCAATAATTCTAAAATATGTAATATATATTTTATACAATAGGGAGTGTCATGGGAGCACATACCAAGTGATCAGCCTTTAATTGGTATATCGTGCGGCCCGTACGGACAAGTCTGGGCCGTTGGAAAGAATGGTTCTTCCTGCTGGAGACTAGGAATCAGCGCTACAAAACCAACTGGTATGAGACTTTTTCGAAGTATCCTCACGAAACCATAGCAGTTAAGATAATCGTCGACAATTTAGGTGTACAATGGCAGAACGTCGAGCCGCCATCAGGAGCTCACTTGAAGCAGATTTCTGTGGGACACGATGTAGTGTGGGCTTTGGATACATTAGGTAGACTGTCGGTGCGCCGAGAGATACAATCGAATGTTTTCCCCGAAGGAACGCACTGGCAAACGTTACCCGCCATGCCGAACGATCCTATTCATATAGGTATTGGATACTTTTCTCTTTCTCTTAACTCTGTTGCATTATTATTATTATTTCTGAAAATTAAATAAGAATGTTAAAAATTGTAGACGTGTCGGTGGCAAATACTAAGCAAGGATTCCGATACGTTTCCGTTTCGAGGGAGCAGGGACAGGTCTGGGCGACTTCAGGTGCCGGCATTATCTGTCGAAGAATTGGTATCACTGGTGAAAATACAGCTGGAACCGGATGGGTGACCGGCATAGGGGTGAGTATAAGTAAAAATTCAGAGTAGTTCAGGGCTGATAGATTTTAGAAGATGAAACATGAATTATGAGATCAAGGAGAAAGTAGAATTATCTTTTAATACGCACAATATATATACACTTTTATTGGAAATACTTTTTTAATATTAAAATATCGACAAATAATATCTAAAGCTGGATTCCGTAACGAACAATCAAGCAATGCGCCGTGTTACTTATCTCTAATATCACCTGTCTTATTTAAAGTATACGTAATCGTCACATGAATATAATTGGTCTACTAAAAATCCAGAACAATCGGCAGCCCTGATATTTATAATTCATATATTTATGAGAAATAAAATTTGGATTTATATTCTTAACAGGCAAACTGGCAAAACATAAGTCTTGGTGGGCTTGTAAATAAGACAAAATGATCTCTACTACAATAACTTTAGATTCCGTTACGATAATATAAAGTAATTAACAATTTTTGTGATCTTGTAAAATATAATATTCTGTACACAGACATACTCACACACACGAACATAAACGCGTCTATGCGGTTTATACTGCATATCACTAATCTTTGATCAATGGCAGAACAAAAACATTACTTAAAACATTAAAAAGTTCTGAGTATTAATTGAAGGAGTTGAGATAAAGTTAAGTAATTTCTACGATAGTCAAGTCACTTATATAGTATTTAAATTATCACTTTTTAAATTTTTATTTGCGTCAAGATATAATTGAATCCTATTTTTAACTCGTTAGTCACGATAATTTATTCTTAACTTAAGAATGTAGGGGATTGCAAATAGTGAGACTTGACTTCTGCTTACACAATATAACGTATATATCATTATACAAATATTTTGTTATTTTTCTAGTTCCTCCAGAACGCGAAAAATAGCAATCAAATAAATATAACAACATCTACGACTAGTATTATAAATAGCACAAACAATGCTTATATATATATATATATATATATGTATGCATACAAGTGCAGTGAAATTAAAATACTATTTTGTGATATAGACATTCCAGCGACAACAAATCGAGATATAATGTTTTTAAATTATTTTCACTCATTTTTAAGACCTAAAAAGTTTGTATAAGTATTATAATCAATGTGCTCGATGTCGTCGCGTAAAGACACTTCACACTGGTGATGTCTTTTCATGACAAATCATAAATCTTGTTTTATACACTGTATAGCTAATGTTTAATACGTTGCAAATATGACAATTGAATTATAACACATTACTATAAAATAAGACTGTACTTAAGACAGCCAGTACCTAATCATTTATATTGCCAATGTATTAGAAACATAATTGTTCTCTATCAAAGTATTTTGTTTTCTATTATTTCGATATAAGCACAAATTATTATTTTATAAATAAATATCACAATAAAACATGCTTTTCTTATATAACGCTGCTATTATTATTACTGCTACAATATTGTTATTAATTCATCAGTATATACAAACATATCTCTTTCAAATATAAATATATAACAAAAAGATTTTTAAAAAATGATATGCAATGTTGATTGCTGTTTTGTTAGGAAATAATTTAATCAAGATTCATAAAAGAATAGATGAAATAAAAAATTGTACTTTTAAAATTAGTATCGTTAACTTAATTCTATATTCGTGCAATAATCACGACGTTTATACGCATGTTATATTATAAAATTTATGATTAAGAGATACTTCTCAATATGAAATACACATGACTATGCATCTTTTGTCACATGCAAAATGTTTTTCATAAAAGAGTTACGATTCGGTTAGTCTTTTTAAAATGCTGTCACTATTCTAAATTTCTCCACGTACATTTGTTGTAACTTTTCATTTTCTGCTTTGTCTCTTTTTCCTTGCTCACTGTGACTAAATCCATAAAAACCATAAATGCAGAAACCTACATGTAAAAAAATAGAATTTTTATACTTCAACAAGTCTTCGGATCAACTTCTATATTTGCATTAGTTCTCTGTGCGCCTTTTACGCAAACTTACCGATCAGTAACCAAGTAGCGAATCTAATCCAAGTAAAGACATCTAGTTGGAACATTAAATATACGTTTATAAAAATACTGAAACATGGAATGAGCGGAACGAGAGGCACCTACGCATTATAGAAACGTGTTGAGATCATATATCGCCAAGTCGCTTTACAATATAACGCACGGTGGAATAACTGCATTCTCGGTATGCGCTCTCTTACCTTAAAGGCCACTTCGGTCTTGTGCACCGGCTGCCTACCGACAGCCGCTAGGTTCAAAAAGAAAATGATCACTAATACAGCTAATATCACACACACCACCACGTTTCCCTCGACCAGATCCGTGCCCATATTACTTATCAGAAACGTAATGATGCATATAATGACACCTGTGAAAAAATTAAACATCGCCGATTATCAACCATTTCTAAAGTTTAATACACAGATATCGTCTGTCAGAAATAACTCTTGTAAGTATGTTAATCTACGTGACTCACAGAGGCAACTGATGCCTATGTTTGCGATCTTGCTAGAAAGCTCCGTCGGCACCTTCTGATTATGCAAATTAAATAACTCTCTAAGTATGTTTATAGGTGTAAGTTGGTAATCGATCATTGGTATAGCGTCACGAAGGTTCCCTTCATTTTGATATCTGTAATAAAAATCTACATGCACATCCGAGCGATTTGTTAATTCTACTCGGGACATTATTCGTATGCGAAACCGATACCTTAATATTAAGACGCTTATCGCCACTATTGTGTACGCGAGCAGAGTTCCTATGGACATCATGTCGATCAATTGCTGCAGATTGAAGATGAGCGTCATGAGACCTGAAATAGAGCGATCTCTATCAAAGCTATTAGATAAGTGCACGACTCGAGAGCGCTCCGTATCTGCATCTCCCTTTGCGCTTCTCTTTCTCAAGTAGCCGCACGGTGAAACGAAAGTTTCACTAACCGATAAGCAAACCAGAGAGCACCGTGCCGTATACAGGTGTCATGGTCTTCGGATGTATTTTGGAGAGAGGCTTAAATATGACGCCGTCGCTAGCCATGGCGTATATTATACGCGGCAGCGGAAACATTGCGCCCAGAAGACTAGTGCACAGCGCGAACACCGCGCCTACGTTGACGAGCCATTTGATCGCGGGCCATCCGATCTGCTCGAACGCATATGGAAACGGGGCGTCCGCATTCTAAGTACAAGCTTTTGTTTTAAGTCCTGCATTTGGAGGACGCGCAGAAGTGAAATGTTTTATCAGTTCCGCCGTTAGCGTTGAATCGTACCTGCGCGTAATACGGCAATACCATCGTTAAAATCATAGAGATGCCGAAGTATGCTGCGAATATGATAATCAAGGACAGGATGATTGCTAAGGGAATGTGACGCCGAGGATTCTTCGCCTCCTCGCCGGTGGTAGCGACGGCATCGAAACCCACGAATCCGTAGAAGCATTTCGCCGCGCCGACCATCACTCCGCCGATACCGAACGGCATGAATCCGCCCGTTCCCGCGTTCTTCACGGTGCTCGGGATATCCTCGGGTGCAATTGACCAGTTTGAAGGATCCGCTGGAAGTATTATTAATGACACAATCGAGTTATATCCCCGAAGCCGAGACTTAAACAACAAGCTTAAAAAAAGAAAAATTGTTCAAACACAATTTCATACCATTTTTCACGAAATTTTTTTTTTTTTAATTGGAACTGCTAATTGTCTGGAAGAATGTTTCATCGAATAGTAACAGTCGAAGTCTGGTCATAAGCAAATTACATGCTTACCTTTTATGGATCCTGCAATAATGACGATCGTAATCGTTATCAAGTTTATAACGGTGAATATATTGTTCAAGATCGACGATTCTCTCACTCCTACGCACAGTAACGCCACCAGCAGCATGACCATTGCAAAGGCGAAAAAATCAGGATATTCTGATAGGAAGGAAATATCTATAGGCATAATTGAGCGCATAGTGTTACTCATAGTATTTCCTATCAGTGCGTCGATATAATTACTAAGTCCACGAGCAACGCTAGCCGTACCTGCAAAAAGTCGTCCCGTGACAAATACGTAAATTATGCGTAAACGTAACTCGCCTTTCCACGTTTTCCGCTCGCACACTCACCAATTACGTATTCTAGAATTAAATTCCACCCTATCACGAAGGCGATGAACTCGCCTACTGTTACGTAGCTATAAATGTAAGCCGAACCGGCCTTCGGCACTCTCGATGCGAATTCCGCGTAGCACATACCTGCGACATAACAAATAAATATGTTGGAGATATATCTCGTTAGATTTTATTCGTCTGAACCTTAAATTTCGTCGCGTGAGTCAGCGAATGACATAACGCGTCACGCAAGATGGAAGCTCTCAACATTTTTCACATTTATGAATTGTTAATAATTGTCAGCGAGAATTTTAAGACGCTGTGCAAGAGATCGACTTTGCAAATTGCAAGATATTTTACCCGCGAAAGCGGATGCAATGGCGGCAATGAGGAAAGAGATGCAAACGGCGGGCCCGGCAGTCTCTTTGGCTACGCTGCCAGCAAGGACATAGACGCCCAAGCCGAGAGTCGCGCCAACGCCGAGTGCAGTCAAATCGAATAAACCAAGGACCCGCGCCAATTGTTCGTCTTTTACCTCTTCATTGTCCTCTACGCGCCTTCGCGACAAGGCTTTCCACAGTCGACTAGTCATACCGACTCGATTCCTCTTTCACACCTGCGTAAATAATTTCACATATTAATTGGATGATCGCGCGTAAATTACTACATATGCATAATAACGCGCAGATTAATAAGTCAATAATACATAATTTAAAAGATAAGAGATTAATTTATGCGCGTTTTTAGAATAAATACATACAAATTTTAGATTATATGCATGAGCGCATTTCATTCAAGGTACTTGAAATTCTTAGCAGATATTCTTACAAAACACATTTGTACCGATTTGTTTTCAAGAAGCACGACGGCGAAAGAGATGAATGGAAAAAATAACGCGGTTAAAGATAATGTCGAGTTTGCACAAAATATTTCTCTTCTTCGCAATGTTTTGCAGAAAACGATAACAGAAAACTGTTAAGACTTTCCGCTTGTTACAATTCATATACAACTCATTCTTCGATAATAATTCTTATGTTTTATCTAAGTGCATGTTAAATAATCATGAAAATTAAAAATAGAAAAACATCGAGCTTAGAAAGTATTTAAAAAATGGCAATTTTCGTGCAATTAAGCTGCGCGAATTCTACTACTGATAAATGTTTCTGTCATTGGCAGTCGACCTTGATGCCACTTTCTCTCCGTTCACTTATTTTCCGTTATACATTCTGTTCTCTATTTTTTGCTCGTACATATATTTAGTTTAATACTTTTTTTTAAAGATACATGCGACTACCGGTGCAGGAAGGACTGAACATACTAAGTACGGTACTGAAGTTATTAACGGCAGAAATACACATACATGCCACATAATGATCCGCGTCTAGAAATCAGATTTACGCGACGGAAGTTTATCTTGAACGGTTTAATTTATCATGTGCTTTCAACAGACACGATACAATCCTTTTTACGATGCGTGAAAATCTTTTTATAACATAAATGCTGTAAAATGCAATCTCTTAATCATTTGATGATTTAGTCATTATCAGACTTTATGCTGTAGATATTGTAAAAGTGATATCAAAGGTAAAAGTGATATCAAAGGTAAACGCACTTAATATCCTACGTTATAAAGCCGTATAAAATAATAATATCACATAGTTAGAAATGTACATTAATACTATCTGCAGAAGATTTAAATATTTCTACAAACTAGCACATCTGCGATATTTATTCTATTTGTAAATAAATAAAAAACTGATTTCATAAAAACATACACATATAATGTATGTGTAGTTAATAATTTAATGTAATAGTGAAGGTAAAAGATGATAATTGAAAAGATTGGTAACATCTTGAGTACAATGAAAGTACCGCGTGCTTATATCTTTTTTTACTACAGTATGTATTATGCACTACGGACATTCACACTGAAAATATTTTGAAATACATGAGATTATAAATTTATGATATCTGACCTTTAATTAAAACTTGAGCCCGCAGCCGATACTAGTATAAAATCAAATACCGCACGAGGTTTTTGCTCCCGTTATATTTATAAAACGCTCTCGCCTTGAATCAAACTGTTTAAATTAACAGAGTAAATATTTATTAACTGTCTCTTGCACTGGTTTTATGTCAATAATTGCTCACATTCATCTAGAAGTAAATTAGATTGTACTTAGACAAAAGTATATTCTGTCGTTAGAAATAATGGCAAATAATCTACAAATTTTGTGTGTATTTTTCGGCTTGATACCGCAGGGAAAATTTTGTTTTATTAAATTTATCTGTGAAGACCAACTTCTAAATCAATGAATGTAATTGAATTGTTCTTAATGCACGCAAATATTGCACAATTCACGTTGCCTTCACGTAAGAGAAAAGTCCTCGATAATAAATAGCGATTTGAAATAAGGATCAAGGCAGTCCCCGTACTTCGTAGTATTTCGCGGTGTTGCGTCATCATTAAAATGTACATTTTTACGTTACACTTTCCTTAACAATAACTTGCTCACAATATTCATTTAATATTGAAGAAGAGAGAATCTAGTCTCTAGAATCGTTAAGGTTCTCACACACACAATTAACTCACGCTTCTTAAATTGAAGCAATCAAGGTTTATTATCGTAACAATTGTATAGACGATATAATTATATAAAATACAAACAAACATTCTCCGGAAGTTATTACGCCGAGTTTTTGTAGCTCTTTGCAGCTTTTTGTAACTTTCCTGTTCGCGATCTGAGCAAGCCTTGAGTCATTTAATCGTCGTTGATAAACTGACAATAAGTGCGGTTCGGCAAAAATTGCTTTGTTAACTCGTCGACGATTTTGCATGCGATAAAGCTGACTTTCAACTCGTAACAAGTTTAATTGTATTGCAGTAGCTGTCTATAGGATAAAATTGTCGTGGATATACTTGAGGATTTCCGATTCATTCAAATCGCTCGTAATCAAGGACTTGCGTCGATAATTACTTAATTATCTCACAACATATCATTTCTTATTCATCAAAGCTACAATTAATCGATTACATATGCTTGTGCTTCTCTTTCAGCCAATGTGAGGAAAGGAAATTATAAAAAAATTATTTACAAGTTACCTGTTAGTGCCGCGATCTGATATGGATGTTATAAAAATGCCATAGATTACGCTCGCTACGTGTGTTGTTTCTGAGAAATCCCAATAGATGATGTAAAATTTTATGTAATGTGTGCGAACTATAGAAGGTCGCTTGATAGACAACAGTATTAATTTAATCGGATGGCGGCGGATATCTTTGTAACCATGATTGATGTGCCTGTTGATCAAATAACAAATAACTGGAATTTGGAAAAAAAATAAATAATTTAACAGTTCATTGATACCCAATAAAAATAGAAAACAGAAAAAATTTAACATAGCGATAGTAACGGAGATTATTTATGATACATTAGAATCACGTTAAATGCAATCGATTGATGCAATGCAATGTCTTTCTTGAAATTAATATGCACATATGCAGATATGTAGTTGCAACAGTTATTCATAATACTATATTATTTATTGCAAAAAATATAATTACTGGAATTCCATCGCATGTAGACAACATTTTTTTGCCGCAAAATTGCGGATGACAGAAAAAAATATTATTGCAAATAACGATCTTAAGAGTCTGAATTTTTTTCAGTTTTAATTTTAGAACACGGGAAGTATGTACATACACTTTGCAATTGTAATTTACATCTTATCGAAAAATAGCGCGCAATTTGACATACAGCAAGTACTATGTGACCTTCGAATTCCTTGTAAATATGTAAATATTTTCTTATTATATCTTTTAATAAGTATATTTGTCCTACTGACTTTCAACATTTGCAGAATAATAGGAATAATTTTCAAAATATAACACACGTGTATGACAGGGGAATGTTTACATCCTATTATACACTCTGTAGACTGTTCTCTACGTATATATGATTACAAGAACAAAGTAACTTGAGGATTTCACACACTTTCCATTGGAAGCAATTAATAAAATAGATTGATATGCATAAATTAACACGTCATAATATATATGATTAAATTGATTGAACAGAGCTTACTTAACTTTGAAGATGTAATGTGGAGCAGAAATACCAGCACAAACTAGATGAAGTGCGTATCGTACGCAATTAAGAACTTGATCGATATAAAACGGATGATATGATTTAAATTGTGGGTGCGTAAACTGTAATCAACGAGAACCGGTTGAATCGGCGTACAATCGCAAATTAATAACGCACTGTAATCTCACGATGCTTACTTTCCACCTGCCTAGGTGGAAATGCTTCAATGCTCCCCACCAGATTATTGAAGTAGGACGTTCACGCTGTGTTAGGAGCCGCCGCGCTACACTTGTCGCCGTTAAGTTCCAATCACGTGTCAAACACTCGGACATTAACATTTTCCATGAGTGTACAATGTTATGAAAACATGTTTGAGGTACATTTTTTTCATCGCCCTTACGCAAGATATATGCATTTACGGCGTCTTAATCACGCTAAATCGATATTTGCGATCCTTTCTATCCTTCTTGTTGCATAGCACACGCATAAATCTAAAGTGGCTATTAAAATCGCTAAAATCAGCACACATGCGTTATATACAGAAAATGCTTTTGATAATTTGAATACATTATTTTTTATTTACTACAAATATTCATATATATAAATATATAAATCTATATAAGTTTCCTTATGTATAAACATACATATATATTTATAAGATAGTCTCCATTCAAATCATACTATTGATATAAATAATTGTGATCTATTTTACCTTTCATTATTAATTGCTTAAAATAAAATAACATTTTAAATGTTTTGTTCCGCATTCCAGTTTTAATACCGTGATTACCATATTATTATGTTAAGTGATATAATTTCTGTTGTTGCTCTTTGGCAGTGATTATTTAAAATTCTACACCAAATAGATCATTTTAAGATCTATCCGCAGACTTTTTGTACGTTTCAGGATTTGTTGCACAGCCAGGACATGTGTGCAAGATTTCATGGATAAATATTTCACAGTCCAAACAAAACGTTTGGTTACATTTGCCACAAGTATATACCTAAAAAAATAGATATTTTTGCTATTTAAAATGTCAGTACATATTAACACCTTCGCGACCGTTGTATATTCATTCGGCTTTGTTCAACGCTTGGAGCCGCTCTATTGTATTGCACTGATATAAAATCCGACATTTCATATTAGACGATCTAATACTGATACAAAAAACAGTGAATATAAAAATACATGACCGGCTCTTGACTTAAACGTAAAAATACGTGAACGGCCGCAAAAGTGTTAATGTTTTTACGATTTATAACTATAATGACTCTCAATTATAGATAATTATATTTAAAATACATTTAAAGTACAAATATCTTGCAAATATCTTTGAAAAATACCTGTTATATATCATAAATTTTCCATTTTATTATCTAAGTTCCAAAGTGTTTATTTTATTTTATCATATTAAATATTTTGGAATCAATAACATTCTCATAATTTTATACAAAATAAATGATAGTTTACCTTTTTGTCCTTTTGAGTAAAAGCTTTCTGGCAACCAAAGCAGGAGAAATAATCGCCCTCAAATGCAATTTCTTTATAGGGTTCGACAGGAAACAAATAATGATATGATCTTGCCAAATGCGGAGCGGATACTAAAGTAAGACCACATGCCCTACATTCCACAGGTAGCTCACAATGTTTACTAAGACATTGGGGACAAAGATAGCCGGTACTCATAAGTTTAACCGATTCATCAGAATTCTCTGCATGGCTGTAATATTAATTAAACAAACAATATATACATTTCTCAGAGCAAAATTATAATAAACTACACTGTTCAATAAGTATATTGAGACTTACCACATGCATACTGTCATAGATGTGTCTGACGCGTTAGAGTGTAAAGCATGATGTGGAAATCCCATTTTGACAAGAGCTGCATCCAGTCGCGTTGCGGCAGGTGGAGGATCTATGTGCACATTTAACTGCTCCTTATAATGCTTATCATCGAGTACAACACCGTGTTCACCACCAGTTCTGTTTGCCATTCGTTTACAGATATATAACTCAGCAGCCAATCCTATCACACTACATCTAATACTATCTGCTTTCATACTCTAAAACAATGTTAATATTAAGCAAAATTCTTAGAGAAAATAAAATTGTCATATAAAATAAAATATACCTGTATTGTTTCGTTGATATCTCCAGGATCACAAGTAGTAAGAGCACCTACAACTATTAATATTTCTTTACTAGCGTGGGAAGGCAATAATTTTAACGACTTCATAGCTAACTCCACAGAATTTTGCAAAGAAGGTTCGCCAGTTATTGCAGTTTGTTGTAATGCTCTTAATTCCTATAAATATAATATGGTTATATTACCACAATACATCCACAATGAAAGTAAGGCAACAAAAATAAGATAATGAGTATTTACCTTGATGTGCTTCTTTGCATTACCAGACAAGTCACTAATTTTTTCAGCTCTTTTATTTCTAGTTATAATTACACCCAACTGACTTATAGGATTTTGATAGAAAAATTCTTCGATGAAATCCTCTAAAAGCTTAAGGCAAATAAATATTTAATAAATTATATATATTTATTATAAGATTAGTAATATATATATTTTTTTATACTTTTAGGGAACACAGAAATCGAGTTGGTTTTAAATCTTGATTGGACATTGACTCCGAAGCATCTAAGATAATATAAAGATGCCTCATCATTCCTAATCTAGCACCCTGTTTTCTGTCCAACTGCCGTTTTCTTTTAGCATTATGAATGATAGTTGCGACAGATGCTTCCAATAACCCATGATCATCTTCTTTAATTGCTTCCCTAAAGTATAAACATATTATTATCATTATGTCCTTGTATATAGATTAACATACAGAAATATTAATTATTATTTAAATATTAAAAACTGCTATCAACACAAGCACAAAGATAATTTGTACAACTCAGCCATAAACATACCATGTTTTTTCATAACCAGTCTCCCAGCGATATTCCTTCTCTTCAGATTCTTCCTCAGCCATTGTTTATCGAGATAAAATAATTCTGTGACAAAAAATATTACCACAAAGATAAAAGATAAAAAAAACAGGATAATTTTATGTATACATTTATACTTTATTAACTTACTTCAAAAAATAGGTTAACGTTGTTTATATCACAATTAGCATGAGCCTTTGAAGAACGACACCGAGTAAGGAAAAAGTAATAATGATAGGTTAAACAGACGCAAATTTATATGAATCAATTCAGTATTTGCGAATATAAGAGATACCTAATCTGGCCTAATCTAAAATGTGGAGGTACACATTAAACATCGTACAACCAATAACAATGCAACCCGGCTTTGCTCCTAGCTCAGCAGGAACTGAGCTCGCTATTCTCCTGTTATTCAGGGTACCGTTCCTTCGTGCACACCTCGGTGCCACTTACTATGCCTATTTTCAAAATTAACGCCTCACGCGAAATTACTAGATGTAGGAGACATTTTGCACGTGCATACCATTGTGGAGCAACCTATACAGAACAGTTTCTCGGTGATTTATTTAGCAAGATTCGTACTTTTTCTCATGACCGTGAACGTGGGGTCGCGGGACGACGGGTTTCCCGCCAAAAGCTATGCTTCAGATAGGCTGGGCCGGATTGGAGTAGGATGAGCAGGCCGGTGCAGGCCGGGAAAGGTGGACAAGGGGACAGGCGGGCGGCCGCCATGGCGCTACTGTCGGCCGACGCGGTCGCTGTTTTCGTTCTGTCTCGCGCGACGACGATCAGCATATTTCCGAGGTTGCAAAAAGTCCAGCCGTCCGCCGGCTACGCCGTGTGTAAGTGTTCATCATTAATACGCTGCCGCTAGCACGCTGTTGATCGCGTTAGCGTCCGCCGCACGGTGTGTTCGGAAAGTATTCGTGTAAGGACAGGAAGTGAGTAGCTCGTAGAGCGAGTATCGGCGACGAGAGCCATCTTTGACGAGCATCGGCTTGTACTCGTGGGAGACGGTGGAAACACGCATTGGCGATCGACGGCGATGACGAAGGCGACGATATAGTGATACAGAGAACGGCAGCGGCGATTTGTTTTCGGCACCGTTCACAGATCATCTTCGTATCCCGGCAACCTCTCATGTATTCCGTGATCGAGGATTAGTTTCCTCGCTCGTTAATAGTGTAAGATAAGACCGCGCCGGGATCGTGGCGGGAATAACAGCGTGTGAGTGTTGTTTCGCTCCCCCTTCGTACTTAACTCATGCTGTAACTGGCCGCGTTTACAATTGTCTCGATTGCACCACGCGTTCCGGTTCCCGACGCTTTGTTACCTGTACGGAGAATTTGATTTAAACATCAGTAATAACGGCGTTAATTGGTAATTGGCGGTAATAACAGCTGAAGGATATCGTGCAGTGATATGTCGCGGAGTATCGTACGTGCGAGAATCGCAGTGCAATCATCCGTGCACGGAATGCGGCGAGTGTCTCCATAAAAAAATACTCCCGGTTCGATCGTGATCACCGGCGTGCGCCGGTGCGTCCCGGCTGGTTTCATTTATTTATTTTTCTTCTTTTTTTTTTTTTTTAACGGGCCGCGAAACTTTGAGCCGGCGATGTGCAGTCGATTGCTTTTTCCGCGATTCGTAAAAAATTTAACATACGCTTCGAAAAAACTTGCTCACAGCCAGATATCCCGCGTGAGAAGAGCTTGATTTTTTTTTTTACTCCGTTGCGCGGAAGTCAATACGACACAAAGCAGACACTTGAAAGTCTTGTGACTGCGAATCAACAATACTTTTATTTAATTTTCAGAAAAAAGGTCATAGGATACACACATAGAAATGGAAGGAGAAGATGGCCCTTCGGCCATCAATAATAAGCCTAATGTCATCAAAGGTGTGCTTTATTTTTAAATTTATATTTTGTAACTTATCTGTATTTCTTGAAAGTAATATTCCTTATTTAAATTCAAATAATTTTATTTATTCAAAATTTATTTATTGAAATAGAATATAAAATAGAATATTTTAAAATAAAATATTTTAATAAGGAGATATTAAATTATATATTTTCTTATTGTAAAGAATATATAATGTAATAAATACTGCATCTTAAAACTAATCACTGTCATTTAATTTCTTTTCTATTTTATCAGCGGCACAAGAGGCTATAGGAAAATTAGATGTGTTAGTATGTGGACAGTGTCATTCTGTCTTTCACTTCATCGAAGAATTTCAAGAACATCGTACAAAAGAAGGAGCATGTTCTAAAGTATCACATCTTCGTGAAAATAATGATGTTTGTATCTGCATTTTTTGTTTAGAATCCATTTGTAAAATATACAATTATATAGATTTGTGAGATAAAATTTTTCACTTGCAGAATGTACAAAAAGCACAAGTTTGGGCATTTTTATTATGGAAGGAGTCACAAATGCAACAAGAAGGTTCAGACAAGAATGCAATTAGTGCATGGCAGCTGTACCAAAAATGGTGTGATGTAAATCTACATGTGAGAGATGCATGGATTGCAGCAGGAAAGACTATACAAACGTTTACAAAAATTAGTAATACAAAAATGCAAGACACACCAATACAAGTTCAGTCAGTTACTAATGAAGGTATATTTTTAATATTGAAATGCAAAGAGAGATATATTTATAAATAATTAGGTTTGTTCACATTGTCTTTTCACATACTTTTTCACTGCTTGACAAGGTACTAAACCGATGATGGTTCGCAAAATTATTAGAAATGGACAACCAGAGGAGGCGAGCGAAGCTAAAAAAGATGCTACAAAAGTAGAAACAAAAACACAGAAGAGTGAACCTATGGTAGTTGAAGAGAAAAAAGTAGAGAAAAAAGAAAAACCAAGAATGAAACCATCATTTAAACCGAAGGTTTTCTATTTTTTTTTTTAACATACAAAAGTACATTTTTTTCATTCATTTTACTTACTTTTCACTTTTCTGTAGAAGTCTGGTAAAGCAGCTACCGAAGAAGATGTAGAGGAAAGTAATGAAGAATATGTTGTCGAAAAAATTTTAGCTAAACGTTTTAATCCCAAAAAAATATGTTCGGAATATTTAATAAAATGGGAAGGCTATTCACAGTGAGTGTTCCTTTAATAATGTATTTTTTATTTTTCAAAAGTTTTAACAGCAGATTTTGAAATATGTAAAATTTTTCAGTGAAAACAATACATGGGAGTCTGCAGAAGCTGCAGCAGCTTGTCAAAATATGATAAATGAGTTTGAGCGAAATCTTGCGAAGCAAAAAGAGCTTAGAGCAGCTCAACAGCAGGCCAATGCAAAAGTCGCCAAAGGACGTCCTAGTTTGCCGGCGCAAAAACCAGCAGTGAAACCTGAAGCTAGCAAACCTGGTCCAAGCACGGCGGTTCAAGTTGGGTAGGCAATTTTGTTCTTTTACACAATCGACAAATAACCTAAAGTTTAATTCTACTGATAAGTGTAATACAATAATTATTGCTTGCATGTAGGCGACCAATGCGATCTAGTAAATCAAAAGCAATGGATCAAGTTAAACAGTGGTGCGGCTCAATGAAAGATGAGGACAGCGAAAGTATGTATTTAAATAACATGTGCTTGATTTGAATTCAGATCGTGTTAAATATTGCATATTTGATTAATGTGTATATATGAATATAGTATTAGGTAAGAGAAGAATTGACGATTCAGACAGCGATTCAGAGGACGAAGGAAATAGTGTTGCGAAGAGATCAAAGCTTGTCTCTGGCAGTGACGAAGATTGGACTGGAGAGTCCGAAGAAGATGGACTGATGGCTCGCCGAGATGTGATACAACGTGCATTCAGTCGTGCACAGTCTAATGGATCCAATAGAGCATCAGCCTCATCTTCCGATTTAGCAACGTCATTAGGGCTACAATCTCCCGAAGGATCAAAATCCACCCAGCCACCTGTTTTAGTAGCTAACGCTAAGGGAGTTGTTAAAGTCGATCCCAAGCAAATGCCGAATCTGTCATCTGGTGTATATGTTATGTCGCGCAAGGATGGTATCATCAAATTAGATTCATCGCCTAGCGGAAAGCTGGCGGTCAAAGGATCACCGACGTCGCAAGGCGTTTTGATGGTTCAGAATCGTGACACAGCAAATATAGTGAGGAAGCAGATAATCTCGACGCCGCAATCGAATTCAGTGACACCGGTGAAAGTCGTCTCGAAGATGGATGCGGGCCAAGTGGTGAAGGTGGTCACTTCTAAACCTATCGCGCAGAAAACGGGAGGCGTGCAAAAGTCTGAGCCTATAAAGATACAGCCGAAGCCAGACCCAACGCAAATACAGCAGATACACGTTGTGACCGCGGTGCAGACACCGATAACTCTGCAACCGAGAATAACCACTGGCATAAGACCCACTTCTGGGACACCTCAACGAACGGCGGACGGTCGTCCCTTGTTACCGAGACCGGCATTGCGCGGCACGACCACGAGTGTTCTTGGCGCTATTCGCACACCTGTCAGAATACCGCCACCGAAACAGATTCAGACGCAAACGACACGGCCAGTAATGCAGAAGCGCACGACGACGGTCGTAACCACGCAGGCATCTTCACCAAGTTCCACTGGCACGGTGACGCAGATCAGGCCCAAGTTCACAGTGCTCACAACTCCCACGCAGTCCAAACAGGTGATCAAAGCTGGAAATAGTCCAGTACAACAGCAACAAGCTAAACAGTCTCCGAAACAGACGTTACCAGGTAAAGCACAATCATTGTTATCTCCGCAGCAAAAATTATTAATGGCAAAGAGGAAAGCTCAAGAGGCCGCGGGCATAATTAAACCAAGTGGTCGTGGACTTTTAGCAGGTGCCCGCGCCACTGTGGGACGAAGTAGAGCGAAAGTAGGTGCCGAGACATCCGCAGCGGTTGCACAGGTCAAACCTAAGGAAAGCAAGCTAGCGGAGGGCGATGGACTGCACATGGAGTTCCACGAAGTCGGTTCGGAGGAAAGCAGCAGCGAGCACGAGCCCGAAATCCCTCCTGCTGCTGAACCCGATACCGTTACAGTCGCTGAACCCGAGAGTCCGCGTCCTTTCTCATTGTGTCCTCTCACGGGACGTATAATCGGTCCGGACGGCGAACCGATCGAACAACCGGAACCGGAACCCGAACCCGAGCAGATATCTACGACGCCGAAAACTATCACTACTACAACGTCCGAAACTGCGGCAGCGGATACAACGGTTACGACCACTACCACGCCAGAATTAGTCCTACCTCCTCTGGACTCGCTTGCGGAAAGTGGTGGTATCATGAGAGTCGAGATGAGCCCCGGCGGAACGACTGGCACCATTGTCCAGGCTAGCGAAACAGCGGCTCAAATCAATCTCTCGAATGTGACTGTTTCCGCGCCGGATTTGCCATGTTTAGATGATACCACTGCTGCAGTACCGGTGACCGCGCCTGCATCCACACCTCTAGCAGAAACCGCTGCTCCTGGCTCCGTTGAAACATCCGTCTCCACGGCATTGCCGACGGCTACGGTGGCGTCTACCGCAACGGCAGTATCGACCGACGGCAAGAACGAAGAGAAGATAGCGGAAGAGAGAAAAGTTACGACAGACGACGCGTCTAATCTGGTCACCATAGCCGAGCACGGTGTTGTCTATCAAGTCGCGGGTCAAGCCGAAGACGGACAGACACTTCTAGTAACACGTGGTGCCGATGGCGAACAACAGTGTGTGTACGTCACTACTGAGCAGCAAGGAGACGACGGTTCAGTCTTGACGTTGGATCACGCGGTTGCCGAGGCTGTTGCGCAGCTGATTCCTGACCAGGTTAACTTAGCGCCACAGTTTTATGTAAAAGAGGATGGAGCAGAGCCGGCCGAAAATTCGATGGTAATGTCTATAATGGATAATGCGAACGCGACTGATGTGACAGGAACTCAAGAAGATAATGACGGACAGGCACAGGTTGTAGCTCAAGTAGTGCAAGCTGAAGAACCTACTCCAGGTAATATCTTACTTTCATTCCGAATAAAAGAACTTGCTTCCGACACAACGCGAAAACATTTCATACATTTATCTGATAATCGTGATTGATTCTTTCAGGAGGAACCAGAAGAGTAGTATTACTTTTACCAGATGGAAATTTAATGATGACCGAGGTGGATGAAGAACAATACGCTGCGCTGGAACTTGACAAGTGAAGACATACATTTTTGACGTAATCTAAGATACCACGTCAATGCATCGAATTACACGCTACGCGCAAATTGTACGTTTAAAATGTGATCGTAAATTGTATATATGTAAGAACGTTCACTTCGTACATTTGCGCATTGATGATCAATAATATTCTTAATATTCAGCGATTAGACTAGATATTACAAAGTGGAGACACAGCTAACATACTGTAAAAAAAAAATCAACACATGAAAAACAAAATCTAAATCTTAGATTGAACAAAATATATGTTATAGGAATGTATGTTTCAGTCATAAAACAATTCGCTGATATCTCCATTTTAACCCTGTGTTTAACTTTTATGATATGATAGCACGGACACATGAAATACAAAGATAAAAGTAATTTCAATGAAGTGACATGATTACAGTACGTTCGAAGTAAGCATTGTATTTGTAGGAATAGTGAAGTATAATATGGGGTTTTATATTTTCCAAACAATAAGCTTTGGTAAAAAAGAATCTTATTCCGCGCATACAAAGTCTAAAAGTATAATATATTCGTTATACCGGAGATATAATACATAAGTGAATCAAATCTATTTCATTGCTAAGCCAAATAAAGAATATCAAAATATTTATTTTATTTTTATTTTTAAAATTATTTTATTACATTTAATATTCATTATGCGACTGTGTTAGAACAAATCCGGCTGAATACACTGCAAGTGCGTACTATAAATTAAAAGTTTGTATCACTACTCGACATAAATAGATGAAAACATGATGCAAACAACTTTGATATAAATGTCTAACGTATATATTTTCCCCTCCCCCAAAAAAATAATGTGATAAAATCGCTAAAAGCAATTATACTGATAATGATACGTTTTATCGTTCGAATCTTTTATGTCAATTTAATACACTTTAATGTATAGTACGCATTTGCATCGAATTGAATTCATTAATAAATTACACGGACTATGTATGCGTATCTATAGGATAAATAAGTGCACCGTATAATAAAATAATTATGATTTCTGAACCTATAAAGCTTAAAATACAATGTTGTTGAACGGAGTATCGTTGCGTCCTATTATTAAACCCGTTTCCTATTTGAATAATAGCAGATAATTCTAAAATATGCGAAGTGACAAGGCTATGTGTAACGCATTCAAATAAAAATGAAGCATGCTGTTTATACATTGTGAAATAACATCTGTGAAATCTATTTGCGACTCCTGCAATGAAATGAACGTGATTCCAATTTTTTTCTTCTTTTTTTTTTTTATAGCGTTAAAGGGCAGAAAATGTGACGTACTACATATCGACAATGTTTTATTTCTGTTTCGTATATTTAGAATACGCTAGAATATAAATGTTTTTTCATAAGTTTGTATTTACTTCCCAAGTTTGTTGTATAATCCAATTAATATCGCTTTTAATCTGTAATAAATGTAAAACTATAACTTTTTACAAGTCAGTCTATTTGCGAAGTATCATCCTGTGTGAAAAATCCCGTTCGAAGCGTCGGCACACGTAATCCCCATGATAAAATTTCGTACCGGGTATTTAAAGCTTATCATTTCATCAATTCAATAGCTTCAGTATACAGGAAATCATAATGCATTCATATTCAATGCATATGTAATTAATTGAAAATATGCAGCGAAGCCAGAGCGATAAGCTATATGTCATTTAATTTCTTTACCTTTCTTAAAAGAACCAAATTAACTCCCCCATCGATCAGTCTACGGAAGAAAAGTGCTCCAAAAGCAGAGTTACAGAAGACAGTTTTGATCGCGATCCCTAATTCTGTGGAATTTCGCAACTACAAGTCGAACAAAGTGTACAAGGTATATATTGTAGAATGTGATGTTTCAATGTAATAACATTCCCATTTTTCGTTGCAGAAAGCCATCACACTACGAAATGTCAGTACGTCTCTAGCCAGATTTCAATTGGCAGTTAGACCTGATTATTCACGATTCACCGTCATGATTGAATATAAAGGACAAAGAGGAGGTATTTTTCCAGGAATGCATGTGAGATTGGTTATTTCTTTTCGCTCTGATGTCTTGGACGAATTTGATGAACCGCTAGTGATAAATGTGCAACACGGACGTTCGGTGGTGATTAAATTACGCGGATATCGTGATCCACCGATATTGAAAGGTATATGAATTTACAATTGTGATAAGCATAATCTCATTGAATCTGATCTGATTTGATAAAAGAAGTAATGTTAAAGAGAAAAGTTAAAATCTCTTTTATATACCATTTTTTGTTCTCACAGTGATTAATATTCCATATTTGCAATGTCCGCAAAAAGAATGGCACACAATGACAAGAAATGTAGAATGGATCACAGAACTTCCGTTTGAACGAACAAATTCTCACGAAGAAGTATAGTTTGTTTTCTATTTTTTTAATAATATCCCGAATAATTACATTTCCTTTTTTTAAAGAAAGAATAAATGAAAATTACAGTCTGATGATTCACCTACCGATAGAAGCAACAGCGCATCGAGCACATCCACAGAGGAAGTCTTGAATTGTAAGAAATTAAAGACCTTTGATTGTGGAGAATGTCTTGTGGGTGAACAAGTTACTTTATCCTTGATGGTTAAAAACATCGGCGGCGAGGGAAGATTCTTCATCATGAGCGAAATCGATTGGTTTTCGATGCATATCGAGGTAAAAATATGATACTAAAATAGAATAACAAACACATTCATTAGAAATATGTATATATATAACTGAATATCTTTTTTTTTCAGGATGTTACTACTAATAATATGCTGATTTTGCCATCTTTTGCTATGTGGCCTGCATATTTTACACTCAAATCTCAAGAATATATGTATCTGTATATCTACTTCTCTCCTGACACTCACGGAATGCATGTAAATTAGAATACAAAAAAAGTTTAATTTTTTTCTACAAGATAATTCTCTCTAAAATTAGATGGAACCAATATATGCGATTTGCGACAATTGTTCTGTGATAGCAACAGAGATCGTCGGAGATGCAGTCACATATAAGCAGCAGTAGAACTATGAGGTATTTATTCTGTCTTGTATATACGTTCATGTTAATAATTCGCACTTTCTTTAAAATTAAAAAGAAAACAATTTTTTTCTATCAATTTTAAATAAAAGAATTTACCTTATTTTATCGCGTCAGGAGCATTTTTTCAAGCATGCGATGAAAAAACCAACAGAATCACTTTCAGGACCAAATCTGCGTACTTTTTTCGCATTCTCATCGGTCAAACCATCCACGGTATATCCTGGAGTGCCATGTCTGTCGGTTTTTATCCGTTCGCTGGCGGATTCTAATGT